GTAATCAAAGCTGGAACTTAATATGAGGTGAAATGGGGTTTAACGTTGTACTTAAGAATATTTCGCTCATATGATGACGTGCATGCATGTGTATGTGTGGCTGCTTGCACTAGCCCAGACTAAAGCTGGTTTTATAGTGCTAGCTCACTGAGATGCCATGCCGTAGATAAGCATGAATACCCAACTCAGACACATTATACCTTGTTCTACCCATTAATGCCAAGTGCCAGGCAGAGAACAAAAAGTTCCATATTTTAACATCATTTGGTATGACATGGCTGGGGATCGAACCCGTGACCTTTCACTCTCTGGGAGAGCGCTCCAACCACTACACCACAGGAGGCGGTTAGCTAGAACTTAAACACTAATGAAGTTGTGCAGTGTGAGTTGGTTTTTTAGTTTGTTTGCATTAGTATTTTTCATTGGTTGATGGATCTGCTAACCATAGTTTCGTCAAAATTTGAAGGCGATAAATATTCCAAATTTGTACTTATTTATTTCCATTGACACATCTTTATACTCATGGTCAATTTGACATGTATTTCACCAAATCATTCAGTCAGTGAGCCAGAGTGAAATTCCTTGCATAATGAATCTAGTGTTATGTAACTTGTCAAGTATGCACCAATCGTGGCTTAATTTAAACTCCCATTGTAGTATGTTAAGGGATGTAACTCCATTCATTGGTTATTTTCTTTTTCCATCTGGGACCAACATGCTCCAATGCAATTAGAGAATTCAGACAAAAATATATAAAAACTACAGTGATTAATTGCCCTCATCCGAAAGGGCATGTTTTAGTTCCTGGGAGAATAAGTTTGGAAAGAGTGCAAGAACTGGGTAAAGATCACGGATATGTCAATGACATGTTTTAGGTTGTATATGCTTTGTCAGCCTCAGTAATCTCCAGGGTATAAGTTACGATCACTCTCCACTATACCCTTGATGCATCCACGATTTGGCCCGATAATTATATTACCTCCCTTTACTGGCTCCGCATTCTCACAGTAGCCAATCAGCTAAGCCGCCGTTACATCCGAGCTTGCCAGTGTCAACAAAGATAGCGGTCGCAGTCGCGAAGGTTTGTTCACAGTACCACTCAGATTTTGGGAGAAATAATACAGACAAATTGACAGATCGGAAACTTTAAAAAAATATATAAAAGAACTCCTTCCACATCTTTCAGAGTACCCTCTGCATCAATTGTGTTGCCAAGCTTAAACGGTTAGATAATTTAAGAAGCGAAAGTGAGTTGTGATTGGTTCGCTCAACTTCCCAGCGTAGACAGCCGACTGGATAAAAAGCCAGCCAAGGGAGGTAATAAAATCATCGGGCCAAGCTGTGGATGCATCCAGGGTATAGTTGAGAGTGACTTTTAAACTGGTGAGGGAACAAAACATCATCCTCGATAATCTCCAGGGTATATGTTACGATCACTCTCCACTATACCCTGGAGATTATCGAGGAGGATGTTTTGTTCGCTCACCAGTTTAAAAGTCAAGTGAGCTTGTGTTTGTCCAGCAAGCATATTCAACATCTGCCCATCAGAAACCACTGGACCAGTGACTGAAACTTCCTTGTTAATACCAGTGGTGACACCTGTATTGGCATAAAAGGTCTGAAGCCATTTTTCAATATGGCCACCATGGCATCCATATTGAAAAGGTATTCATGAACATTATTCACCCAAAATGTAATGAAACTTGTTATGTGTATTGTCAGGTCTCAGCATGTAAGTTCTGTTTCTTGTAATATCTTAAATATTTTAAACTTGATTTGACCTTTTCATTTCAACATTACTGAAAACTTAATCTTGTAGCCACTATTCAGCGATTTTCTTTCAAACTGGCATCAGATTATGCACATGAGTAGTTAGTTGTGATGCTAAAAAGTAATGGTCGGTGATTTTTCATAAAAATATTAACAATATTCCTGTACTTGAACTTTGCACTGTGATCATGCTCCTGTCTTCTCCATTTCTGGTGTTCCCCGCTGTGATATTGCTGGAATATTGCTAAAATCTGCTGAATTTTGACATGCAGGTCTTTCCTTATGAGGGCATAAAAGTTTATTCATTTAATTACATTTCAGTGTTAGCTTTTAGAATTTATGATGAAAACATTTGAATATCAATGCTGATAGAAACCTTGTTCGGCGGCCCTCACATCGTGTGGGTATACTGTCGTCACCTACATTGGGCAGCCAGAAATCACAGTGGGTCTAAGAATCAAATAGTACCTAAAAACTCTTCCTGAAAAGTATATCAGCTTTCTTGAGAGACCGAAGCCCTGCAAGACATACAAGTGTTATAAAGAGGGAGAACTTAAGACAACTTATGTAACAATATCCAAGGTTTTCTCAACCTTAGTTTTAACACATGAAGGTCCTGGTTACAATTGATCTTCAGTAACCCATGCCAGTCGTAAGAGGCGACTAACGGGATCGGGATGGTCAGGCTGTCCTGGTTACAATTGATCTTCAGTAACCCATGCCAGTCGTAAGAGGCGACTAACGGGATCGGGATGGTCAGGCTGTCCTGGTTAGAATTGATCTTCAGTAACCCATGCCAGTCGTACGGTAAGAGGCGACTAATGGGATCGGGATGGTCAGGCTGTCCTGGTTAGAATTGATCTTCAGTAACCCATGCCAGTCGTAAGAGGCGGCTAACGGGATCGGGATGGTCAGGCTCTCTGACTTGGTTGACACATGTCATTGTATCCCAGTTGCGATATTCATGCTGTTGATCATTGGACTGTGTGGTTCGATTATTTACAGACCACCGCCATATAGCTGTAATATTGCTGAGTGCGGTGTAAAGCTAAACTCGCTCACTCACTGATTTCTTAACATTTTATACTCTATTGACTTGTCTAGTTGGCCAGTTGAAATGCACACACAAGCACACACGTTCACACACATGTTCACACACACACATATAAAAATGCTCTGAAAAAAGTCAATTTTCGTCAAACGTAGAAAACAATTTTGCTGCAATTGCTTAATAGATATTGAGAGGTGAAGGCCCCCATGCTGTCTCTGTAAGCATGTTTTGACGTCAGTGTTCTTTGAGATAAGATAGAGATAATAAATTGAAGACACGTTGTAACCTTTCCTCCCGCTGTAGCAAGTTGGTATAAGCCAGATGAACAGGTAGGCCAGTCTACAACAGTAGCAATGAGGGGAGACCGGTTGTTTAACTGAGGGGTGAAATTAGATGCCGGGACGTAATTCTGTGCAAATTGTTCCTGAACAGGTCATGAGATAGGTAATTAGTTTTCAGATAAGCATCTTTTGGATGCATTGATCGGTCGGGCCTGTCATGCCCTTTATGTAAATAGACGTTCTTCACGGTATCTCTGGTCTTCTCCCTGTCCCCCCTCCAGGCACTCCCTCCCCCCCAAAAAATGCCATAATGTATAAGGTTTGTATCAGGGGTTCAAGAGCTTGCAGGAAGATTAGGATCTTCTCCAGATTACAATTTACGGTTTAGTGAATTCTTTTGTCCCACACCAGATAATATAAGTACCTACATGGCAACAGACCAGTTTACAGTTATCTGAGGGCTTATTTTTTTATTTTGTTTTTATTGGGGATCATACAACTCTTGCTGCCACAAGGCGCACCGAGTTATTGCGGCTTTCCCATCCTTACGATGGCCAAGCTACAATACAGAATTACCATATTCTACATAACTAGTTCTCTGCTGCTGTAGACTGAATGACACAATACATTTAGATGTGTTACATAACGTATATTAACGTAGATAAGCCAATCCCCTAACTTGACCCTTAAAATCAGCGTCAAAATGGTATGTTTCGTGCATAAGCCAACCCCCTGCAATGGGGTCCTAATCTCGGCCAACTCAGACCACAGACAACTGGCAGTTACCAATAACTATATAACTTCGGTCTGCATTCTTCACAGAATTCACAATCATATTGCGTCTACTCAAAATGAAGTGTAGTTGATGGAAAATGGATAAGGGTCTATAAAGTTACTCACTCTGTGAGAGGTCTAAAGGTCATCATCAAGCCCTACTGTAAGACTTCCAGACCTATCACATCATGTGATGTCAGTATGTCAGGGTAATATTCACTTATTGCACACATCACTTAAGTGTGATATCTTATAGGCTTTCTGTTGATCAGGTCAACTTAAATATTTTCTCAGATATGTTTACATGTGTTTTTTGCCAACCCTCTGTCATGCTCATCAGGGTCATGTGTGAAATGAGTGAATGCTGTTTTATGCTGCAGTGACATTCCAGACACAGAAAACTAGTGGTTGATACTATGAACATTGTCCATTGATGACATGCGCCACTGAGTCTGACAGCCTGATCCACTGTTTCCAATGACAAGCATGTTTTACTTGGAACCAGTTCAAGCACATTTGATTCAAGTGGCTAAAATGATAGTATACATGTCTGCATATTCATATTTAATATGCATAAGACTTAATAACTGCCATTAGGTCTCAATTTCACACAGGACTAGGCAAGGACAAGACCTAGACTTAAACCCCATTTAAACTAAGGCAACTATTTATCATGAAAATATTGGTGATGGAAACTAGGAATGAGCTACCATTAAAGAAATACTGAAATGAAAAAGAAATTGTTTGAAATGTTGATATGAATGATGAGTTTATTGCTTAGATCCTTCAATGTGTTTTATTTGTGTGTGTGTGTGTGTGTGTGTTACTGAAATATTATCTTTAATTAAATAACAGTTTTACACAAATTATTGACCGACAACATTAAAACCACGTGGTAAACTATCCCCTAACATGTATTCAAGGTTAATCACTCTGCTGTTACTGGCACTGCACTAACACATTTATAGACCGGTCTTGTGGAGAAACACTTTCTTTGCCCTGTGTGCGAACTGTTTCATTAAAATCCAATTGTAATGCTATTTGAACACAAAAACCTTAAAACAAATCCTATTCTACCTTTATCATGCAGTGCCTCTGTAAAGGTAAATTTGTGATCATTTCAGATGGATTCGTTATCCAAACTCCTGGCCCATCGCCGAATTCCTGGTGAGCAGATCTGCCGCCGCATGGAATCTATGCAGCTCCTCTCTAGCTACTCTCTCAGTGATCTCACGGTGGAACAGGTAAATACGTCACTATATCCCCTCTCTAGCTACTCCTTCAGTGATCTCTCAGTGGAACAGGTAAATACATCACTATATCCCCTCTCTAGCTACTCCCTCAGTGATCTCACAGTGGAACAGGTAAATACATCACTATATCCCCTCTCTAGCTACTCCCTCAGTGATCTCACAGTGGAACAGGTAAATACATCACTATATCCCCTCTCTAGCTACTCCCTCAGTGATCTCACAGTGGAACAGGTAAATACATCACTATATCCCCTCTCTAGCTACTCCCTCAGTGATCTCACAGTGGAACAGGTAAATACATCACTATATCCCCTCTCTAGCTACTCCCTCAGTGATCTCACAGTGGAACAGGTAAATACATCACTATATCCCCTCTCTAGCTACTCCCTCAGTGATCTCACAGTGGAACAGGTAAATACATCACTATATCCCCTCTCTAGCTACTCCCTCAGTGATCTCACAGTGGAACAGGTAAATACATCACTATATCCCCTCTCTAGCTACTCCCTCAGTGATCTCACAGTGGAACAGGTAAATACATCACTATATCCCTCTCTAGCTACTCCTCAGTGATCTCACAGTGGAACAGGTAAATACATCACTATATCCCTCTCTAGCTACTCCCTCAGTGATCTCACAGTGGAACAGGTAAATACATCACTATATCCCTCTCTACTCCCTGATCTCACAGTGGAACAGGTAAATACTCCTATATCATGGCTACTCCTCAGTGATCTCACAGTGGAACAGGTAAATGATCCTCAGTGATCTCACATCACTGGAACAGGTAAATACATCACTATATCCCTCTCTAGCTACTCCCTCAGTGATCTCACTATATCCCTCTGGAACAGGTAAATACATCACTATATCCCCTCTCTAGCTACTCCCTCAGTGATCTCACAGTGGAACAGGTAAATACATCACTATATCCCCTCTCTAGCTACTCCCTCAGTGATCTCACAGTGGAACAGGTAAATACATCACTATATCCCCTCTCTAGCTACTCCCTCAGTGATCTCACAGTGGAACAGGTAAATACATCACTATATCCCCTCTCTAGCTACTCCCTCAGTGATCTCACAGTGGAACAGGTAAATACATCACTATATCCCTCTATAGCTACTCCCTCAGTGATCTCACTGTGGAACAGGTAAATACATCACTATATCCCCTCTCTAGCTACTCCCTCAGTGATCTCACAGTGGAACAGGTAAATACATCACTATATCCCCTCTCTAGCTACTCCCTCAGTGATCTCACAGTGGAACAGGTAAATACATCACTATATCCCCTCTCTAGCTACTCCCTCAGTGATCTCACAGTGGAACAGGTAAATACATCACTATATCCCCTCTCTAGCTACTCCCTCAGTGATCTCACTGTGGAACAGGTAAATACATCACTACTATATCCCTCTCTAGCTACTCCCTCAGTGATCTCACAGTGGAACAGGTAAATACATCACTATATCCCCTCTCTAGCTACTCCCTCAGTGATCTCACAGTGGAACAGGTAAATACATCACTATATCCCCTCTCTAGCTACTCCCTCAGTGATCTCACAGTGGAACAGGTAAATACATCACTATATCCCCTCTCTAGCTACTCCCTCAGTGATCTCACAGTGGAACAGGTAAATACATCACTATATCCCCTCTCTAGCTACTCCCTCAGTGATCTCACAGTGGAACAGGTAAATACATCACTATATCCCCTCTCTAGCTACTCCCTCAGTGATCTCACAGTGGAACAGGTAAATACATCACTTTATTACCCACGTGGTCAACGAATGGGTAGTTGCATATTAATCTCATACGTCACACGAGTGTCGTATCGCGTTGACCTGTGTCGTAACGACTTGACCTGAAATTCTAACGATTTGATTGGATAACCAATGACCTCTCAATTAGGTCACATTCTGATGTAACTATTTTTTCATTCATAACAAACACGTGAATTCATTCATTCTACAACTTAAATGCATTGTGGGAATGTAAACATTGCGAACGTTGCCGTGTCGCTGTTTAATTGTGAGTCGAACTGAGACATTATTATATCTGTCTCTAAAAATATAAACGCAATGTTTCCACCAGTGATGTTAGCCTAATGAAGCAACTGGAAACCAAGAAACGAGGTGCAACGGAGTAGTTTACTGTAGGAGGCTGTAATGAGGCGATGACAACTGACATGCATCGTGACGTCAGTTACTGATGGCAGTGACGCCATTAGTGTGACGTCATGCAAATATTGTACTACAGTACAAAACTCTTCCGCGAACCTCTTTATGAAACCGGTTTCGGTTTGAAACCAAAAACATAACAAAATACGCTATTTTGTCAATTTAAATGCATGTAAGACGGGTAATAAATAAAATACACACTCAGTTCATTACATACGATCTATATGAACTGGTGTGATCTTCCTATATCCCTATTCTGACTCTTCCGTCAGATACCATAGGAAGGACACTCGCTTCAGATAATTCGTGGATGTAATGAGACCTCTTGTAGTATTCTCTATATATCCCCTCTCTAGCCACTCCCTCAGTGATCTCACAGTGGAACAGGTAAATACATAACTGTATCCCCTCTCTAGCTACTCCCTCAGTGATCTCACAGTGGAACAGGTAAATACATCACTATATCCCTCTCTAGCTACTCCCCTCAGTGATCTCACAGTGGAACAGGTAAATACATCACTATATCCCCTCTCTAGCTACTCCCTCAGTGATCTCACAGTGGAACAGGTAAATACATCACTATATCCCCTCTCTAGCTACTCCCTCAGTGATCTCACAGTGGAACAGGTAAATACATCACTATATCCCTCTATAGCCACTCCCTCAGTGATCTCACAGTGGAACAGGTAAATACATCACTATATCCCCTCTCTAGCTACTCCCTCAGTGATCTCACTGTGGAACAGGTAAATACATATCACTCTCTAGCTATCCCTCAGTGATCTCACAGTGGAACAGGTAAATACCCCCTCTCTAGCTACTCCCCTCAGTGATCTCACAGTGGAACAGGTAAATACATCACTATATCCCTCTATAGCTACTCCCTCAGTGATCTCACAGTGGAACAGGTAAATATATCATCACTATATCCACTATATCCCTCTATACTCCCTCAGTGATCTCACAGTAGAACAGGTAAATACATTACTATATCCCTCTCTAGCTACTCCCTCAGTGATCTCACTGTGGAACAGGTAAATACATCACTATATCCCTCTCCTAGCTACTCCCTCAGTGATCAGGTAAATACATCACTCCTCTCTAGCTACTCCCTCAGTGATCTCACAGTGGAACAGGTAAATACATCACTATATCCCTCTCTAGCTACTCCCCCTCAGTGATCTCACAGTGGAACAGGTAAATACATCACTATATCCCCTCTCTAGCTACTCCCTCAGTGATCTCACTGTGGAACAGGTAAATACATCACTATATCCCCTCTCTAGCTACTCCCTCAGTGATCTCACAGTGGAACAGGTAAATACATCACTATATCCCCTCTCTAGCTACTCCCTCAGTGATCTCACAGTGGAACAGGTAAATACATCACTATATCCCCTCTCTAGCTACTCCCTCAGTGATCTCACTGTGGAACAGGTAAATACATCACTATATCCCTCTATAGCTACTCCCTCAGTGATCTCACAGTGGAACAGGTAAATACATCACTATATCCCTCTATAGCTACTCCCTCAATGATCTCAATTTGCATTTATGTGTCACAACTTTGCTGTTTCAGCAATATACCGGTATACAAGATGTTTGTGTCTTGTAAGTCACAATGAAAACCCTTATCAAAATATTTACTTTCGTATTTTATAAAAGTCCCAAAAGAACATGTGTGTACTTTCTTTTGTACAGCGGTTTAGTTTTATTCCATTCCATACATATCTTCAGTAGTAAAGTGACTTTTTTCCTCTTTATGATTTTGCTGGTCATTCACCCATCTTTAAGACCATTGGATGTATGGTTGAAATATAAATAAAACAGTCTAATTTACTGTGGTGATCTGTCAATCCCCAGTACATTCAAAAGAATTAGCTTTATTTGTAAGTCAAAGATACTTGCTGCTTGAAGGATTTCACTGAAGTCAAAGAGTAACTTCCCTTTCATATATTGAATGGATTTATTCATCATATTTAATAAGGAAAATCAGTATATATAGATTTAATGTTTATTGAACATTTTGAAGTTGTCAGCTCTGTAAACCAAGTAATGATAAAATATCAGACTTTCTACTCTAAACTGATACCCCCAAATACATTTGTATATAAAAGTAAATTTGTTGATGTTCCCTACCTGTTCATAATCTACAATGGAAACTTATCATGAAAACATGCCTGACCAAAACAATGCCAGTAATTAAAGTACTGTCGGAAATAGAAAAAACTGTTGTTAGGCTGTTACTCTGTATCCCTAAAATTTACACAATTGCAAATAGCATATGTCGAAATAACCCACTTCGGCCTAACTGGGCATTCAGTGGGATGCGTAATATGATATCCAGAAAAGCAAGTTTACTCATAAAATCGGGCAAAACTTAGAAAAAATACGAATAGCTGCTGAAAACAATAGATCAGACTATAGATGGCAATTAGGTCGCTCAGCCAGGTATGACGATGGACCGTCGACTCACCTGGCATGAAATGCACGTGCTGCCTACAGGCACAAGGGGTCCTCTCAAAGATATTTTGTGCTTTGTCATGTGTGTTGACTATGTCTCATCTACTGATTAACATCTTACGTGTCTTTCTTTCATAAAGTTTATGTTGAGATATGTAAGAGAGTATGATACCCGAAAACCATAGAAACGCATCGTAGTATATAGGTGGCATGACCACCCGAAGTTCGACAGGACTGGATATTATTTGTAAATTGTTATGATGTGCCGTGTACCTCCCCAGTATAATTGCCCTAAAGGATTATCTTATCTTAGCTGATATCTCTATCCCCAAAGCCCGACCCCAGGTTTTGCTTTTGAGGCGACCCCTCCTATCTGTTTCTTTTTATAGTGGCAGTGAGACTGCATGGTAGCTACATCCTTAATAGTTTCGGCATCAAAGTTATTATTTTTTACGTCAGCTATCGTTTATAATGAATCTACGTCTAATTTCAAATTGGGCATTTAAAAAGTGGCCTTTGTAATACAATATCGTCGCACACTAATTTGCATAAAGACATGGTCTGTTCCAAATAAGTCTTTTTGGACTTAGAAAAAACACGCATTGCTCATTTCTGCACTAATTTCCCCTCAGTAAAGTCCTTTTTCTCTATTTCCTATCTCTCTACCACTGAGACTGTAGTTAGGCCGAACTTAGTTTAACAGATATTTCACACTTTCACATATCAAATTGTAGAGATAAATGAGAAAATACGTTTTTTTCTATTTCCGACAGTACTTTAGTACATGATATTCTCCAACATGCACCTGAAGTTTTCCGACAGCAGTAATATCAATACGACTTGCATCACAGATGCAGAACAAAGGCGAGGTCTGTATCTAAATAGAGTATCAGTATTTGAAAGCTGTGTACAATGTGTTGTTTTTTGGAAACATTGTTACCAAGGATGATATAAATGTGTGGAAATAAAACCAGAATGAACAAGGTAGGCCTCTGAAGCTGCTTGTGCTGGATAGCTAATTGCTTGTGAGATGATATGTAAGTGTATCTAATTGGCAATGTATTAGCTCGATGGAAGCGGGATCGGTACGGAGGCTGCATCTGTCCTAAACCTGAGATGGATATATTGGTGTTGGACAGCTTCCAACAAGAAACCTTCCTTCAGGATCTCTTGAACATGGCCACTATTTGTAGAAATTAGCTCGCAGGGTGTCAGAAACTATTTCTGTACCTTTCCCTCCTGCTTAAATCTAAGCTTAAAATGATTAGAATTTCAGTAATTCTTGGCATCACCATATAAGGTCTGTGTTTAACAATGCATATATGTTGTTATTGATCACTGCCGGCACATGTTGCATTGAGATGCTTCACTGGAGGAAACAGGTGTTGCATACACCTAGACGGTGCATACATCAAGTATTTATTTCATTTGTGCTACCCTGTTTATTCAGTTGAGTTTGAGCCCAGATAATAGCTCATGGCTAGCCGACTCGGGGTCCACCATAGTGGGGATTGGTGGTCAGAGGAGGTTCCTGGTGACCAATCATTGGAAGAACATTGAAATGGAGATTGGATGGTCAAACTGTGTGACTTGGGTGGTTGTGCTTCGTTATGGGGTACAAGGTCATCTATACTGCTATCAGTCACTAATTTGCCTCATCTAAATCTATTGTTGTCATATGGGGGACTGTGGCATACATATCACTTCATGTCTTAAATTCAGGCCAGAAATGCTTAAAAAAAAGCTTTTTGACTTCAATATCAATATGATGAATTTGACACAAGATAAAAGCACATATATGATACATGTACGACTCTACCTAGTTGGATATTAAAGCTCAGATGAAAAAATGCACTTGAGGGGTGACTTCACAGCAGGAAATTTTGACGTTTTAACAACATTCGTAAATATTCTAAGTACAAACTGTAGTTTTGAAATACAGACTATAATTATTCATAAGGCCTCAACTAATTAAATTACATAAATGATTGTAAAAAGTTTGTTTGTTTTTTTAACATCCATATGTGAAAAAGATGGAACTGTTGTAGGAGTTAAATTCAAAATAATTACGTAAAAAGTCTTAATTCAAATCACATGGATAATCTTGTTCACCCATAGACGTTTACTTCGTGTGTGAGCATTGAACTGGCAACATGCGACTTGATATCTCTGCAGAACAATTAATTTCAAATTTATACCAGTATTTCATACTGGAGAAACAAAGGGAGGAACCTCTCGTCAGCTATGACAGGGTTTACTATAGAATGTGTAAAGCCCTTAATTTTACATATAGTCAGGTTTACAAAGTTGTAAACAAATCAGTTACCTCAGGGGTCGTGTCAAAATCAAAACCAGGTAGGAAACACAAACTGGATAGCTTTGATAAGGAAGTCATACACCATGCAGTTTATAAACTGTATGAATGCAAAATCCCACCGACGTGTGCTAAAATACAAGATGAGATCAAAGATACAATAAATGTCCTGGTGTCATTCCGCTAGAGTCCTCCACCAGCAGTGATACTGACACTTGATATTTTGAGATGGTCCCTGACATGTACTGACCGTGCGTTACATAACGCTGTCACCCTGTCTGCCTGCCAGGTGGGTCACAGTATAGTTTGTTTCTTAGAAGTGTTTCTACCATGGATTTTTTTCTAAGTTTTTCGATATTTTACAAGTAATCATTACTCATATGCCATATTAGGTCGAGGTGGTATGAATGATTATATATGAGTTTTGAATCTGAAATATCAACCATTGTCAAATAATTGCCGAAAAGCATTTTCCAAGCATTTCTGGCCTTACTTTAATACCACAGCAGGGGACACCTGAAATGGGCTTCACATATTGTACCCATCTGGGGAATTTGATCCCAGTCTTCGGTGTGACGAGTGAACACTTTACCCACAGGGCTACCCCACCACCCCACATAGTATATGATGGTATAGCAGCAATAGGTGAACACTTTACCCACAGGGCTATCCCACATAGTATATGAAGGTATAGCAGCAATAGGTGAACACTTTACCCACAGGGCTATCCCACCACCCCACATAGTATATGAAGGTATAGCAGCAATAGGTGAACACTTTACCCACAGGGCTACCCCACCACCCCACATAGTATATGAAGGTATAGCAGCAATAGGTGAACACTTTACCCACAGGGCTACCCCACCACCCCACATAGTATATGAAGGTATAGCAGCAATAGGTGAACACTTTACCCACAGGGCTACCCCACCACCCCACATAGTATATGAAGGTATAACAGCAATAGGTGAACACTTTACCCACAGGGCTACCCCAACACCCCACATAGGTATATGAAGGTATAGCAGCAATAGGTGAACACTTTACCCACAGGGCTACCCCACCACCCCACATAGTATATGAAGGTATAGCAGCAATAGGTGAACACTTTACCCACAGGGCTACCCCAACACCCCACATAGTATATGAAGGTATAACAGCAATAGGTGAACACTTTACCCACAGGGCTACCCCACCACCCCACATAGTATATGAAGGTATAGCAGCAATAGGGGAACACTTTACCCACAGGGCTACCCCACATAGTATATGAAGGCATAGCAGCAATAGGGGAACTTTATATGTCAAATATGCACCATACAAACATCTTCCAACACAAACTGATCCTCAGGTATCTCCAGCTTAACTTCTTTGAGGGGCATATAAAAGTTGAAGTAACAATAGGACAAGGTGTTTGGTGATCAAGTTGCTTACTGTAATAAGAAAGTTGTTATCTATATGTCCTTATGTTTTAAACTTAAAGAAGACATGGCTGTCTGGTGTTATGACTCCCTGTACATAGTATGCTGGTGATCGATTCTAATTTCACTTATTTCTCTCCCAATATTAATGATTGTAACTAAATCATCCATGTAGTCTAAGGACATTTAGAGTTTGGTAAGCAGAGTTGTCTCCCCAAGGGAATGCTGATCGTGTGTCCGAAGCTAAGATTATGCTTGTATAACCAGCATCACTCACTCCCCCAAGTGAACTACAGAGTTATCTCCCCTTTCAGATCCAGCTGCAGATGTCGCTAGTGCAGCAGGAGCTGCATGATCTGAAGCTGCAGCTTGAGTCGCATTCTGCGCGGAAGTTCTCCCACAATGAGGCTCACGCCATGAAGAAGATCGAACATCTGAAGGAGCAGTTCCGGGAGATGATGGTTGAACTACGGAAGAAGAGAGCTGCAGAAAATGAAAACGCTGTTGTGCTGACAGACGACACTGTAAGTTTGTGTTTGGACTTGAAATAGTACCTTTGACCCATGAGGATCCAGGTTAGAAAATTAATCTTCAGTAACTCATGCTTGTTGTAAGAGGCGACTAACAGGATTGGGTGGTCAGACTCACTGACTTGGTTGACACATGGTATCCCACTTGCTAGCGATGCTCATGCTGTTAGTCACTGGATTCAACACTGTTCACATGAACTTTAAATTTTATGAAAAGTGTTGGGATTTTCTTCATGAAAAAGGTGTATGTTTTATCTCATTTGTTACTTCTTTTTTTTCCTTCAACTTTCTTTTAGGTACAAAATCATGACATCAAATCACAACCAAATATAAACCATGCGTTTGTATTCAGAGTTTGGCAGTATCTCACATTGACAAGCATATCATAACAAATGACATTGTAGGAAAAAGGATCAGTTGTACATTAGTATCAGTCGAACAGTTGATGGCAATCAGACCAGAATCCAACAAATTTGGTAAAGTTACAAGAAGAGATGCTGTGTGTTCTCTCGATATTGTAAATTTTAGTTATTTTCTTTCTGATCATATCGAAACTTGGTGTACAAATATATGTTCGTATTTTAAAAAGAGTAAATTTGACAACTGTTATCAGGAGATTACAGGCATCGTTCCTTTTTTCAGAGAATCCAAATATGATTTTCATTTTATCGATATTCAATGTGATATGTGTTTTTGTTTTTATCCAATTTGAAAATTGGTTCCATATGTTTCTAGATTTTGGACAGTCGTAAAGGAGATTTGTTACTTCTTGGTTTCTATTGATGTCAAAACATTGAGATTACCTACAACCATCTTGTTATGTGATCTACGGTTTTGTTTCTAGGATGAGGAGTTGGACATTGATCGTCCCCAGCGGCCGTTCAGACGCCGCACCCTGTCAATGTCCTCCCGAATGTCCACAGCGTCCGTCTCCTCCATGGTCCGACCCCTGTCTACAGCACCACAGTCTGGTCAACCCTCCCCCACTCACCCCGGCATGCCGTCATGGCCAGGACCAGAGATAGAGGTAAGTCATCATGGCTGACATACACAAACCTTCATCGGACGATAGTTTATCATTTTAAGGACTTGTTATGATACATCAGATGTTTGCCCTCACTGAGGGATCACAAGGAGTGTGATATATATATATATATATATATCAAACTACCAATCAAGTTGTTCCTATTGATAGTACAATACAAATAGGAATTTAAGAAGGCCAGTAGTACTGTCGATAGTATGTATAACAATCAGTAGTTTAAATAGTTTCAGATAGTTATAAATAAAACTTACATTATGCAAAAAGTAACTTATAATGCCTACATGTTGATTAGCAAGGATTAAGACAATTTCAGATTAGAGTTACTTCCCCTTGTTTTGAGTAGCAGCAGGGAGGAGATTGTCAGACTTTGAGTTGTCAGCAATATATTCATTTCTAATAAAATGATTAATATAATTTTCAAAGCCAAAGATAGTTTTCTGTTATTGCGATAGTTTTACTTACGTTGACAACTATTAAAATACTAATAGTGAGGGTTACTATTGCAATAGAATAGAATAGTTAATAGCACCAATAGTCGCCCGTAGTGACCACAGTGAGTGTCACTCTGCTTCCTGTCTTGCTGACGCTGTTGCTGTTGTTGTTGAAGCTGAAGGATGTTGAGCGGTCGCTGATGAAGAAGCATCCTGGCTACAAGCAGCGACTGTCGACAATGGAAGAGTACGACATGGACGATGGTGCCCAGGGAATGGACGAGCGCCGTTATCGGACTTACTGACCTCAAACTTAACTACATTACTGAGATTGTCGGTCAGTGATAACTAACTGTCTCAGTGAATTGGGTACTTTATGATTGACTGGTCACAATCTCACAATCACAAGAACAAACTAGATCACACTGTTTAGTACTGACAAGCTGTGTAACAGATATTTTCATCTGAAACTACTGCTTCGCCCTTTGATATGCTGGTATTGATGTTTGTAAACAAGTCCTGTGCAGACACACAACTGGCTGCTTTGTGGGATGGTTTGCTTGTTAGTGTTCTGTTGTAATGATTGTACGATTGTCCTAGGGATTGGTTTAAGCATTTCTTGGACGGAAATTCTATTTATGTATGCTTTTATGAATATGAGGAATTGAATCTGTCAAATCAAGATTTGAACAGTGTTATTTAGATGGTCACAAGAAATTAGGACGGGGCATACTTTGAAGGAACACATCCAGTGGGAAGGATCCATTGGTTGGTTCAGTTGTTAATCAGGACAGCTGTAACAATGTAAGGACTGCAACCAATTCCTATACAAGTGGATACTGTAACTCCACCATCTGTAACACAACACTGACTACATCAACTGCAAGAACTGCAACCAATGCTGTGTCTGTTACAAGACAACGCCTCCACATGTAACACAACATTGGGCTACACAAACTGTAACAATGTCAGGACTCTAAGTATCTTTGTAATGCTGTCTATGATAACAATACCAGCTGCTGTACCACCAAACTTGTAACACAACGTTGGGCTACACAAACTGTAACAATGTCAGGACTCTAAGTATCTTTGTAATGCTGTCTATGAACACTGTAACCATGAACACCTCCACATGTAACACAACATGGGGCTACACAAACTGTAACAATGTCAGGACTCTAAGTATCTCTGTAATGCTGTCTATGAACACTGTAACCATGAACACTGTAACCATGAACGCCTCCACATGTAACACAACATGGGGCTACACAAACTGTAACAATACCAGGACTCTAAGTATCTTTGTAATGCTGTCTATGAACACTGTAACCATGAACGCCTCCACATGTAACACAACATTGGGCTACACAAACTGTAACAATACCAGGACTCTAAGTATCTTTGTAATGCTGTCTATGAACACTGTAACCATGAACGCCTCCACATGTAACACAACAACGGGCAACACAAACTGTAACAATACCAGGACTCTAAGTATCTCTGTAATGCTGTCTATGAACACTGTAACCACCAACTCCATCCACCTGTGTAACTATTGTCTTCACCAACTCTAACCATTTAGGGACTGTAAGTGTCGTTGGAAGGTTGTCTTTTGAACACAACTACACTACCGGTAAAACAACAGCTGTCTTCAGAAGCTGTGTAGGGAACATGGCAGACAGGAGGATTTAGTCATTTTGACCCCCAAAATATTTAAGATGATAATTTTATTTTATTTCAGGATGGGGCTCTAACAAGCAGTTATCTCAATATCGATTACAATCATGTTTTGGCTTGTGATTGTTTCAGTTGAACTGTATTTAGGCAAGTTTGCTTTATGATCAGGTTGTTCAGAATGATCTCTGTGGGTGAATGATGAAACGTATCTGAATGTCTAGACAGAATGTCCATTATCAGTACTTAGTACAGTGATGCAGAGGATCAACCCTTGGAGCTGACAGTGAATGCAATAACTACCATCCCAACAGTAGGAGAGACAGGTGGAGGGGAAGGGGGGCAAGACCCCTCCACAGCACATACTGGAGATGTGACTTAAACATGGGACAAGACAGGAATGAGTAAACTCATCATCATTTCTATAAACTAAGACAAAGCCTCAATATGGAAAACTATTATTAGCAGTTCCTGGCTTGACTAAGGGAAGCAACTCTGCCTCTCTCTAAAGTGGAAAATGGCAAACAGATTTTTTAAATCAACCAATGTAAATGTCAATTTAATGACTTAATTCTATTTGTTTTGTTTTTCTTCAAGCAAAGTCTTTCCATTTTATAGTAATGAAAGGACACAACTTTAAACTGGGCACAGTAGAAAGATGTTTGGGTGAACATGTACTTTAGAAGATTGTCGTTTCTGGCTGTGAAATTCCACCAGGAAAGTAATGTAAAGCAATAAATAAGGCCATAAGATCAACTTGACAGAACTGAAGGAAGCTCTAATTATTAATTCATGCTGGCCTACACTGCCAATCACTACCCACACCACTTACTCTACATAGCAGGTGCCAGCTGCTCTACTTGAAGTGAGAGGAGACATTACATACCTTTCTATTTGGTCTCAGGACCAGCCAATTTTACCTGAGAATTTAATCTCTTGTCCTTAACGAAATTGGATGTCATGCAGCTTCAGACATTAGCATGAAAGTTTCATCAGCCGAGACTGTAACTTCCACCAGCTCATGACAGGAACACTGTAACTAGATGTCTGTATGGAGGATTCTTTCATGGTCTGATGTCCAGTTTGGGAGAACGGTGTGAAGCCCGTTTCTGGTGTCCCCCCATAATTCATACTGCTAGAATATCACTAAAAGTGTAATAAAAACATACTCCCTATGGAGGTGATGGGGGCCTAGTGGTTAGAGTGTTTGCTTGTCATGGGGAAGGCCTGGGTTCAGTTCCCCATGTTAGATGTCTGGTGTGTCCTGCTGTGGAATATCACTGACATGGCATAGAACCATACTCACTCACTGTGGGAGACTTCTACACATATTGTTGTCCCCCTTCAGCACGGGCAGCCGATGTAATGCCTACTTTGGGGGGGCCTCCACCACAATATTGCTGAAAGAAATGTAAACCCATACCCAGTAACAATCACTCCGGTAGACTCATTTTCCCATCACCATGAAGGAAATAATTAACAGTTTGATTGTTCATTTTGAAACAAAATAAGATAGCTAACAATACAGTGACTGTACTACCTATTAGCTCAAGAGTAGTCTTTTAATAAAAATATAAACTTTTCTGCACTAAATTACAGCATTTCATAAATCTCTTACCTTTAAAACAGAAGTCATTAGACAATTCAGTTCCTCCTGGGCTGCTGTGGTCTTCAGTTTGTCTACTTTTTGATATTGTTTGTAGCCATGGGGTGGCATTAGTTTCTGCAGCTGGGATATGATTACAGACACAGAGAATGGACTGCAGATCTGGCTGGATTAAACTGTCAGGCTCAGTATGATCCCTGAGGGCAAGGGGCACTGACAAGGTCTGACTACAGCACTGACAGAACACATTGGGTTGTCTCCCTTACATCCCCACAGTGTGTAGTTTGGATTGGTTAGAACTCCCAAACTGTGTATTCTGTTCAGACAAGACACATGCGTTTGACTTGGTTACAGTTGAAACAATTATAAAAATTAGATGAATCAGTGTAAATGCTGTGCTTGATAGAAAATATGCTTATTTCATTTTGTTTGTTTGTTAAGACTTGATTGTTTAATGGGTTTATTTCATATAGGAGTGGGGTTGGGTTTTTTGTTATTGGGTGGATGTGAATCCAAGGCCAGGACCGATACACGATTAACTTTTTCAGTGTCTCCTCTAGGTATTTTGACCAAGTAACCATCCAAATAAGAAAACAATGCATGGCCATGTACATTGATCAAATTAGATTAGACACATGTTATTTATAGTATGTTACTTAAAAACCTTCTTATTTCAGGTATTACATTAACACCCCAACTGTATATCTACACTAAAGCATCACAAAATGAACATGATGGAATATCTACCAAGAATATTTGTTTTTTAATAGTACTTGTAAGTAATCATCATCTTGTCGTCATAAGCTAAATTCAAAGGAGGCTACAGACTAAGGTAGGGTTCATGGACATTGAAAGAACCTTTATTTTTAGTACACGTTAGTAATCAAAGTCTCATCGTCCTGGATATTCAAAGGAGTCTACAGACGTAGTTGAGGGTCATGTTTCAAGGTATAAACTTGTGCAATCAGTGGTGTGTGCAATATTGAGGATGTCTCAGCTAAGCCTAGTATGGACTGGCAGCCTTAAGTTGTGGGGGAAATGTCTGACCATGTGTGAATGTTTGCTCTGTTTTAAGGGGAATCTTCAAAGAAGAAATACTTGCTATCAAGGTATTCAGATTTATTGCATCGTTACACAGTCAGCCCCATTCTAGCCCTGAGAGATACAGTGTACAGACTTATCAGCGCAAGAATCTGTGTACACTGTAATTGTTTGTATGTGTGCATAGTTTTAAAAGTAACTATGACGGTTGTTTTTTGTGCCAGGTTTGGTATTTTTTAAAGTTACACGGTCAGATTTCTCAATTTTGCATTTATTGTAGATTTTTATTTATAGCATTTATTAGCTTCAAAGTTCTTGAGCATTTGTATAGACGACAATCCTAACATGGCCATTGAACAGAAATAGAACCAGAGAATGGGGATAAAGGTTCTGCAGTGCAATTACAGCCAGTCACCAATCTATGTGAGCAAAGTGAGAGACTAGTGTAGTTTATGTGTTTATGTACACAAGATGGTGACATTGCCATGGAACTTTGGTAAACTGGGCTGGTCTTTAACTGATATCCTTGCAGTAATACCAAAATATAGATACAAGGCCACGTGAATGAATATACATTACATCTGATCCAGCACCTATAAGACATGAGGCAATCACTTCAAAACTTGGTATTAAACAATCCTCACCCTTAAGTGGTGTTTGTTTTCTTACCTTTTAATCAAATACATAAACTCTATATTTTAATTTATTTTCACAAATTTTAGTAAAACTTGTCAAATGAAATATATTTGTTGCCTTGCATACTGGGACGGACCTGGTAATAACATGTTGTTTGTCTTGTTCTAGATGATCCAGTCAACATTTTCAATGTTAAAAACCTGCACAGTCCTTACTCCTGCACATTATCATGTCAACATTTCATGTTTTCTCAGCATCTAAACATGCGGGCAAATATATTACTGAAGTCTTTTCATGACTTAATGATCGTTTGATGTGTTTACAAATTGATTATTCAATCTGACATTGATTGTAAGGCGTGTGTACAGCTGTTATGATGATTGTACACATATATGCATTTCAAGTCTTTGTTTTACAAGTTACCAAGGTTACCAATACCTGAATGTATAATTTTTGAATGATGTGTGCTGATGCTTTATTATTGAAATATTTGAGTTTAATTTGCTTTTGAAACTTTGTTTTAAACATAAATATGCCAAATGTCTTGCAGTAATATTTTTTCTTAAAGAATTTTGTGATTATGATGAATTCTTTTTTTTTTATGCCTATGTGGATCAACATCACTTCCTAGACTCTGGAATCGTTATTTTGTCAAAAAGTTTCATGTTTATTCACTGTTTTCTGAATTATACTCAGCAAAAGAAGTTAGGGATTTTGAATATATTGGGGATATTATGTCGTAAGTTAAGACTTCTGTATGCAAATATCACCCAAATATTCATGTACCTTAACTTTTCTTGTTCAGTATAACACAGTGTAGTACCATTCTGTTCTGGAATTCCAGATATAGCTGATAAGTACCTTCTTCAGTTTACTCAAGCTGACTTGGTTCACACATCATTGTACTCCAGTTGTGCTAACCGATGCTCATGATGTTGATCACTGGATTGTCTGGTCCAGATTCAGTTATTTACATACTACCACCATATAGCTGGAATATTGCTGAGTGTAGCATTAAAACACAAACAATCTTCAGTTTACTCTTCTGCCATTATGTTTGTACTAAACTGCAGCTAAACTTTGAGTTAACATATTTGTCATGCAGGTTTAAGATTCAGATTGTTCAGCTGTTCTCCATGATGTCATGTTGATGCTGCCCATGAGATCATGGTGGTCTCTTCCTGCTTCCTCCTCTAGGCATCCATAGGTTGGTTTTCTTTCAAAGGTTAGGAAATTGATGTTTTGAAACTGTTAATTATTCATTGTTTTGTGCCATATAAAGAAAATATGCCAAAGATCTGGACAAACGCCACAAACAAAGGAGTTGTACATATGTCACAAGACATTCGCAGATTTTTTAAAATTTGAAAGCGCTGAAACAATGTTACTGACCTATTTTGGGGATGAACATAACTGAGTTGGGTGTGAATGTGCAATCTAATTTAAGAAATTCTTTATTTGATCTCATCAAGGCCATTATTTCTTAAAACCTTCTTGGCTATTTGTGGGCAAGAACACAAGTTATCGTTTCACACCTCACAATTGTCTTGTAAAAACCTGTGTTGCAGGAACAGCGTTAACTACATGTTTACTGATCTCCACAAGGGAGGTAACTCTTGTGTGGCATGTATGCAAAGGTTTCCTAGACAGTAGTGAGAATGCTGGATTGTGTGAGAATGCGCCATAATACTGCATTGTGCAATTATCTATGACAATTTGGATTTATCTGTATCTTTGTAAATATAAATAACTTATTGTGTAAATAATTGTTGAGAGTCGGAATACTCTTATTTACCTTTAGAATTTACCAGTGTTTGATATTTTGTCAGTTATTACCATTTGGGTTTGATTAGAGTATGTTAATGTGGTTTTGAAGAGTTTATTTTAAGTTGAATCACCTGAGTAGATAAAAGGGATGTGTTTCACAAATCAGATTTATGTTGTTGCTATTCAACGATCTTCATACATTTTGTAATCTGTGTTATCAACAAGATCCCAATGAGATTGATACTGCTGACACTCCGGGATACACCAGGACAAACCTGGATGAGACAAGAGTGAAACTTGGGGATACATCAGTGAAAACCTGGATGAGACAAGAGTGAAACTTGGGGATACATCAGTGAAAACCTGGATGAGACAAGAGTGAAACTTGGGGATACATCAGTGAAAACCTGGATGAGACAAGAGTGAAACTCGGGGATACATCAGTGAAAATCTGGATGAGACAAGAGTGAAATTCGGGGATACATCAGTGAAAACCTGGATGAGACAAAAGTGAAACTCGGGGATACATCAGTGAAAATCTACATCAGTGAAAACCTGGATGAGACAAGAGTGAAACATGGGGATACATCAGTGAAAACCCTGGATGAGACAAAGAGTGAAACTTGGGGATACAACAGTGAAAATCTGGATGAGACAAGAGTGAAACTCGGGATACATCAGTGAAAACCTGGATGAGACAAGAGTGAAACACGGGGATACATCAGTGAAAACCTGGATGGATACAAGGGTAAAACTGAGAGATACATCAGTGAAAATCTGGATACAGGATGAAACTTAGGGGTACAAGAGTGAAACTGAAGAGACAAGGGTTAAACTCTGGGTAAAAGGTGAAAGAAGCATTTATGACTATGCTATATTGATACTGATTTGTTATCATCAGTCCAGTGAAACTCCAGTACACATGGGTGAACTCAGACTCACCCGTGAAACTCCAGTACACATGCGTGAACTCAGACTCACCCGTGAAACTCCAGTACACATGGGTGACCTCAAACTCACCGGTGAAACTCCAGTACACATGGGTGAACTGACTCACCAGTGAAACTTCAGTATACATGGGTGAACTCAGACTCACCCATGAAACTCCAGTACACATGGGTGACCTCAGACTCACCCGTGAAACTCCAGTACACATGGGTGAACTCAGAGATTCGCCAGTGAAACTAAATTATACATGGGTGACTAACCAGTGAAACCTGGGGATACAAAGAAAAGAATCCCAGTCCTCACACAATGTCAACACAAAAGGCAAGGTATTTATTGAACGGTATGACTTTATTGTATTTTCAATAGCATGATGAGCACAAAAACTGTCACCATTTACAATTATACCTTCATGAAAATATTCAACTTTCATAAAAACATGTCCAGTGAAGACTTCTCCAGAACCAACATACAGTCTGGGAGTGGTACACCTGCACAGTCCATCACTTGGACACATGCTGTACATCTGTGTCAAACACGAGGGCAAAACACAGTACAAACAAACATGGATCTGGGACCAGAGACTTGTTAAATTACATGCAAAAATAACAAATTAATTATCTTGTAATCATTTTGTTTTGAGAAATGTCATGATCTTCAACCCATTTATGTCACTGTTAGCAATATTCCAGCAATATTCCAGCAACATCACAACAGTAGACAACAGGCTGCAGACATTGTGTGTACATGGAATCTCTGGCAGGAAGATCACACGCTTTGACCACTAAGCTACCTCACCTTAACCTGGTCACATTATAGAGGGACAGTTGGTCTTCCACAGGCATCTTCCCTTGGCAGGAAGATCACACGCTTTAACCACTAAGCTACCTCACCTTAACCTGGTCACATTATAGAGGGACAGTTGGTCTTCGACAGGCATCTTCCCTTGGCAGGAAGATCACACGCTTTAACCACTAAGCTACCTCACCGTAACCTGGTCACATTATAGAGGGACAGTTGGTCTACGACAGGCATCTTCCCTTGGCATGAAGATCACTGCGCTTTAACCACTAAGCTACCTCACCGTAACCTGGTCACATTATAGAGGGACAGTTGGTCTACGAAGGCATCTTCCCTTGGCATGAAGATCACACGCTTTAACCACTAAGCTACCTCACCGTAACCTGGTCACATTATAGAGGGACAGTTGGTCTACGACAGGCATCTTCCCTTGGCATGAAGATCACACGCTTTAACCACTAAGCTACCTCACCGTAACCTGGTCACATTATAGAGGGACAATTGGTCTACGAAGGCATCTTCCCTTGGCATGAAGATCACACGCTTTAACCACTAAGCTACCTCACCGTAACCTGGTCACATTATAGAGGGACAGTTGGTCTTCCACAGGCATCTTCCCTTGGCAGGAAGATCACACGCTTTAACCACTAAGCTACCTCACCTTAACCTGGTCACATTATAGAGGGACAGTTGGTCTTCGACAGGCATCTTCCCTTGGCATGAAGATCACACGCTTTAACCACTAAGCTACCTCACCTTAACCTGGTCACATTATAGAGGGACAGTTGGTCTTCGACAGGCATCTTCCCTTGGCATGAAGATCACACGCTTTAACCACTAAGCTACCTCACCGTAACCTGGTCACATTATAGAGGGACAGTTGGTCTTCCACAGGCAGTCTTAACACAGTAACTGAACAAGTTCTAACATACTCAGATACAGGGGCAGATCCAACATTGTCAACAACGAGAGCCACAGAAAGAAACAAAATACGAAACCATCTTTATCTGCAAGTGAAAACATGTTTAACTACACTACAATCTTATAATGAGTGAGTGAGTTTTAGTTTTACGCCGCCTTCAGCAATATTCCAGCAATATCACGGACACCAGAAATGGGCTTCACACATTGTACCAATGTGGGGAATCGAACCCGGGTCTTCGGCGTGACGAGCCAATGCTTTAACCACTAGGCTACCCCACAACCCCTAAGATCGTATAAATGAAAATGCTGACATGCACAGGATGCACACAAACATGACAATGGCCACGAGGAATCTTCATGTGGATATTGATGAGTGAAGAGGATGTCCCTGTGGCCCGGATCTGGAGATCAATGGATTACTAATGTACATATAGCATATCAACATGGCAGAACCAATATTCAATGAAGCATCATAAAATCTTCATCTTGCTCCTCCAGTGACTGCTGACACAGAACATCACTGACTAATAAATAACAAACATAAGTATAATATGGTGGGCACTAACAAGGGCACCATGATCCAAGGCCCTAACATGGCTGCTAGTGTAAAATGAACAACACAGCTGTAAATCAATCATGGGACAAAATGGACAATACTTTCTCATTTAGTATCGGTTTTGTTTGTTTGCTGTTTCAAACTGCACTCGGCAATATTCAAGCTTCATGACAGTGGTCTGAAAACAAATCGAGCCTGGACCACACAATCCAGTGATAGTTGTTATGAGCACTGATCTCTGCAACTGGGATACAATGTCATGCATGAACCAAGTCAACAAGCCTGATCACCCGATCAAACAGTTTTCTCTTACATGAGCCCCCGGGTTCCTGAAGACCTAATGTAACCCAGATCTTAAGGTCATTTTTTAACCATCATTATTTTTGCAGTAAAGAAATAGGTGCAAGATTAGACTTCCAATCACACAAAAAGAGGAAAACCCCAACACACCTGTTCAATAGATTCTTCAGAATTGATCACAAGAAAAATCCAACTCCTAATATTTTAAAATTGAAACACATACTGTTTTGAACTTGTCTTCATAAAAACTTCATTACAGGGCATGACAAACTGTTTCACTCTGTGCAAGGAAGCAGAAGTTGCTGTGAGGAGCTTGAGATAATCCTGTCTCTACTCACGAGAATATGAGAAATCAAAGAATAAAGGATGATGTTAACCATCATAAAGACCCTTCTCTTCCCACAGAGGTTACTTGTCATTTCTTCCTACGAAACTCTGTTCTAATACGGTCATATTTCCCGGTTCTCGTAAAATCCCCTAGCGGCAAAAGATCGCAACACGAATTATCTCCCTTCTTTCAGTCCAATCAGAACACGTGTTACATCAACTTGACTAATACAAGCAAATGTTGGGTCACAGATATCCCTCCTCTGCCAGGAACTTGTGTTGATGTGACACACAAGACAATTAATGGCTAGCTTGTCCGTTGTCAACGAGGGCGATGGAGACTCCATTGATCCGCCATTTACATGACTGACTACTGTCTATAAGAAACGTTTGCGCATCGCACAGGAAAAGCGGTTCTAGTTTTCCCGAAGCATACGGAAATAACCGAGGCCTTGCGATTGATCACTTTTGAAACAACCTTGCTGATTGCACAACTAAATCTGATTGCAACCAATCACGAATCCTGAACACTCGCACCATGAAAGGGACGTATTAGAACAGAGGTTCGTAAGAAGATATGACAAGTAACCTCTGTGGGAAGAGAATGCATAAAGACATGATACACCGAGATTGGAAACTGTACTAAGTATGTACTTGAAATATATGTCTTTGTCAGTTTTAGCAAAACACCAGGTGGTCTACATCGTTGTCACAAGGCATGTGTATCTGCCTGTTACACACAAACAAATCCTAGAGGACACAACTGTTCACTAGTAAGCACTGGCAGTGGTTGAGCGTCCATGACAGAAACATGACCAAAGACTTTCAGTCAGGACCCAAAAATACACACCAGTTTGTTACAAGCATGCTGGTTATAAATACAGTTTACTGAACTTGTGTCCAGTGAAATCAATATCTAAAATATTAAAAATAACATAACAAAAACATACATTCAATAAAAATATAAGTACCATTCCAAAACAGAACACTACAAATAATTTCAATAGGTTTTGCTTGCAAAAATATTCTCATAGTGAACATTTGAAGAAACATGTTCTAAAACACACCAAGGAGTTACTGAGTATCTCGCAGTGTAAGACCAGCATGAGGCAGGTGAAACAATGACCCACAACGACATAGGATCCTGTCATGTCAAGGGACACAACTCTCCAGTAAGAGTCATATGAAAGATTTAATGATATATTTTTCTTTCACATATCTCACCACTGATTAGTAGGGCTGCAACAATTCAGTTAGATTCATCGAAAATCGAATCTGACACCCTAGTTTCGATTTTCGATAACCATTATCACCATTTCGATTCGATATTTGAATTTCTATTTCAATTATTTCCACAACGCAAGAACGTAATTTTGACTCCAACTCAAACAGTTTCGAGGGCTGAAATACGGGGAAACGTGACTGATTGACACCGGGCTAATTATTTAATGAAAATTGTTGTTGTCGCCAAGTTGACGGTGGATTTCATGCTAAAAAAAACACTCTGAGAGATAAATGAAATTTGATGTTTTTACTTGTATGATGAATTGAATCGAAAATGATCGCATCGAGGGTCCAATATTGAAAATCAAATCGAATCGAGGTCTGGGTGAATCGTTGCAGCCCTACTGATTAGGATGTCGAATTCATAAGAGTATCTTGGTAAAATCGGATATTTCACATCTAAATATAATCTCTATATATGATACAAGCACCAAATCATCTGCTTATGAACTCACGTCAGTATGGTGACTGATGAGATGCAATGTGAGTGAGGTTTTATGTTGTAATGTTTATACTTAATTTCCTCCATTGTCATGAAGAGCAGTACACAAAAAGTGCTTTTAGTGAGTGAGTGAGTATGGTTTTACGCCGCTTTTAGCAATATTCCAGCAATATCACGACAATGTTAATGTTTATAGATATACTTTATTTCCTCCATTGTCATGAAAAGCAGTACACAAAAAGCGCTTTTAGTGAGTGAGTGAGTGAGTACAGTTTTATGCCACATTTAGCAATATTCCAGCAATAGCACGGCAGGGCACACCAGAAATGGGCTTCACACATTGTACACATGGGGGGAATCGAACCCAGGTCTTCAGCGCTTTAACCACTAGGCTACCCCACTGCCCCCAAAATGTGCTTTGAGCATACACAGGTATGTGGAAATAGGCGTTTTATAAATGGATATTATTACCATTATTATCAAAAGAACAACAAGAGGTTTTTATGATGTAATGTTAACTCAACAGAGGATACCAAGGACAGCGCCACCCACTATGCCCACATGGTAATCTGAACCCAGATGAAACATTGCTTTGATCACTGCTCTAACACCTCATCACAAAGAATATCATCCTTCTCACAATACCAGAAGCTAGCATATGTAGAAATTTCAGCAGCATCAAGTTTTGTTCAAGTTTTCATGTAAGAAGTGAGGTAAGAGTACAGAAAATGTTTAAATATTTGTTATCAACATTTCTTGCAACATATTAAACGTCTAGTTGAGGAATGGCTGTTAAGTGACAGCTTCAGTTGTGACCTGACACTGGGGAGATGTTCCCCATAAGGGTATACAAAACTGCGAGGCGGAAAACAAGCTGGATTCTGCTGAATGACTTGGACCATTTTTACAGTATGTGAAAATATGTTTTGTAAATATGTGCATTGATAACATCAATATGTACCTGATGCCAAATTTTGTAACACAAAACATTGTTGTTTCTAAGAGTTATTTAGATTTTGACATAAATATATTAGTGTTTAGGGAGGCAAAGTGTTCACACCTGTTTTACATTTTTAACTCCATAAACACAAATATATATAGGAGTCAATTCTTGTAAATAAATATGTCAACATTCACAAAATGCTTGTTTTATAATGATACATATAATGTAGAGACTGTCAACATCAGTGACATTATTCTGCACAACAGTCGTGGAGGCTGTGCAAACAGAACCTGCTTTATCAGCCCATCAACAACCATGAACCAGCTGGCATTGTACTCACACAGATCATTGTCTGCAGTCTCCTTGACTGTGAGTGAGTGAGTTTCATTTTACGCCACTTTTAATAATATTTCTGCAATATCACGGCGGGGAACACCAGAAATGTGCTTCACACATTGTACCCATGTGGGGAATCGAACCTGAGTCTTCGGTGTGGCAAGCAAACGCTATAACCACTAGGCTACCCCACCGCCCTTCCTGGACGATGAGATAGTGAGTTATAGTTTAACCTTCCTCTGAACAGTACTTGTCAAATCATGGTATGTCAGCTTCACCTGGTAGAAAAAGCCAAGGTCAAGGTCTCTGATTGCTACATCTTTGTTGTAACCAAAGATAATGGGTATGGTTCTAATGACCGGCCAGTAAATCAGGTGAATCTTGGATTCCAACCCTTCATCAGTTTTCTGACATACTTGAATGATGCAGTTGTACAGTCACATCTCAGACCCAGAATATGTATAACGTGTTTTGTTTTGTATGTTCTTCAACACAGCACTCAACATATTCCCACTGCAGCACAGTGGTCTGTATATATACCAAGAATATAAAGTTAAGCGCCAGCCTATTTCAAAACTAAGATGTGAAGCTGTGGAAATGTTAGGCTAAAATAATTGGGAAGACCAATCCATATTTAGAGAAGGTTCATCTGGTAACTGGTTTAGGGATATCATAATCATTGTATTTACAATTAAAGGAAATATTGTTAAAGATATGATGGCACTGCTGTTTAAAGCAAAATAACTATTCCTATTCTGCTTATACAACACTATTAAACTTAGGTTTCACTTGTCAAAGATGACAATCATGTGACCATATAACAGTCATTTCTGATTTTCACTTTTCAAAAGAAGGTAACCTTTTTGAGGAAAACAAAATGCATGTTTTCCAAAAGCGCATCCATCCTGTTTAAAGTAAAAGATAATTTCCATAATGGTTTTGTTTTTAAACTAAAGTACTAAACCAAATTATGATAGTTGTTTTTTTCTGAAAGATTTCCTATGAGACAACCTATATTGGCAAAATATACTGGGTGGCGCTTAACTTTTTATTCACAGTATATCTGAGTCTGGAACACAGTAACTGACATCATGAGCATCGACCTACACAACTTGATATGATGACATGCATCAACCCAGTCTGATGACCCGATCTCACGAGTCTGATGACCCGATCTCGCAAGTCTGATGACCCGATCTCGCGAGTCTGATGACCTGATCTCCCGCGAAGTCTGATGACTCCGATCATGAGTCTGATGACCCGATCTCCTCTGAGTCTGATGACCGATGATCTCATGAGTCTGATGACCTGATCTCATGAGTCTGATGACCCGATCTCATGATGAGTCTCCTGATGACCCGATCTCATGAGTCTGATGACATGCATCTCAAGTCTGATGACCTGATCTCGCATGAGTCTGATGACATGCATCAACCCAGTCTGATGACCCTGATCTCATGAGTCTGATGACCTGATCTGGCGGAGTCTGATGACCTGATCTCATGAGTCTGATGACCTGATCTCATGAGTCGAGTCTGATGACCTGATCTCATGAGTCTGATGATCTCACCTCTGATGACCGATCTCATGAGTCTGATGACCCGATCTCACGAGTCTGATGACCCTCAGTCTGATGACCTGATCTGATGACCCGATCTCACGAGTCTGATGACCCGATCTCATGAGTCTGATGACCCGATCTCACGAATCTGTCTGATGACCCACATCTCAACCCAGTCTGATGACCCAATCTCAGTCTGATGTCCTGATGACCCTGATGACCCCGATCATGAGTCTGATGACCCGATCTCGATCTCATGAGAGACTGATGACCGATCTCACGATCTCATGAGTCTGATGACCCGATCTCATGAGTCTGATGACCCGATCTCACGAGTCTCGATGACCCAATCTCACGAGTCTGATGACCCAATCTCATGAGTCTGATGACCCAATCTCATGAGTCTGATGACCTGATCTCATGAGTCTGATGACCTGATCTCACGAGTCTGATGACCTGATCTCATGAGTCTGATGACCTGATCTCGTGAGTCTGATGACCCGATCTCGTGAGTCTGATGACCCGATCTCGTGAGACTGATGACCCGATCTCACGAAGTCTGATGACCCGATCTCACGAGTCTGATGACCCGATCTCACGAGTCTGATGACCCGATCTCACGAGTCTGATGACCCGATCTCACGAGTCTGATGACCCGATCTCATGAGTATGATGACCCAATCTCATGAGTCTGATGACCCGATCTCACGAGTCTGATGACCTGATCTCATGAGTTGCCTCTTACAACAAGCTCGGTTTGCTGGATCTTGAGGGGTTGTAAGACATACTGAGTATTAGGAGACCTACACATGGACTACTTATCACAAGCTTCCTGCACTTACACATTTTACACCAAGGTATTGACTAAATCTACAAAAAGGAATTTAGACAGACCATCAGATATGCATGTAAATGTTGACAGTGTGAGACAGAAACAGGTGGGTATCATGGTTCCATTGTACAAAACAACCGTAGTGCTACGACTGTCGTAAGTCTATGTTATGCTACGGAGTTACGATCACCGCTGCAGTAAGACTGTCGTAAGTCTATGTTACGGTATGGGAGTTACGATCACCATAGCGCTATGACAGTCGTAAGTCTATGTTGCAGGTATGGGAGTTACGATCACCTTAGCACCAAGACTGTCGTAAGTCTATGTTGCGGGTATGGGAGTTACGATCACCTTAGCACCAAGACTGTCGTAAGTCTATGCTATGGTATGGAAGATACGATCACCTTAGCACCAAGACTGTCATAAGTCTATGCTATGGTATGGAAGATACGATCACCTTAGCACTATGACTGTTGTAAATCTATGTTGCGGGTATGGGAGTTACGGTCACCTTAGCACCAAGACTGTCGTAAGTCTATGTTGCGGGTATGTGAGTTACGATCACCTTAGCACCAAGACTGTCGTAAGTCTATGCTATGGTATGGAAGATACGATCACCTTAGCTCTATGACTGTTGTAAATCTATGTTGCGGGTATGGGAGTTACGGTCACCTTAGCACCAAGACTGTCGTAAGTCTATGCTATGGTATGGAAGATACGATCACCTTAGCACTATGACTGTTGTAAATCTATGTTGCGGGTATGGGAGTTACGGTCACCTTAGCACCAAGACTGTCGTAAGTCTATGTTGCGGGTATGTGAGTTACGATCACCTTAGCACCAAGACTGTCATAAGTCTATGCTATGGTATGGAAGATACGATCACCTTAGCACTAAGACTGCTTTGTACAACAGCACCCTTGTCAGTAGTTTGGGGCCTCAGATGATGCAAGTCCTATATGTTTACACTTTGGTGCTACAAAACCTAAGGGTCTTAGTCTGGTTTAAACTGGGATTCAAACCCAGGAGTATTGACATAAACAACAGACATGCCTATCATTGGTGAAGAACTGTTGACAGGTTTTCTTCATCTAAAGGTCACCATCAAGCTCTAACAAATGGTTACCAGACCAAAATATCACACAACTCCAGTCTGCAAATGCACTTAAGATTAATAACCAATGTTTGACAGTTTACAAATATGCAAAACCAATATCTTTATAATAAAAATCACAGGTTTATTATGAATCTTATAACACAGAGTTGACACAATAGTTGACCTCCAAGCCAGTGGCACAAATCTCTACAATACCATCCTTCCTTTTCCTACAGACAGATTGGTATTTCATTACATGACCAGTATGTCATAGTGGCCGGCTTTGTACAAGCAGGTTGACAATAATGAGTTACCAAGGCTTGACAAGCTTGCCATGTAGGACACATCAGCAACCTAATAATGAATACAGAACAGACAAAAGCCGTGTTGTAGACCTCAGTGACAACCTTAACAAGATCAATTAACGATATCAAGAATACATAGTGTTTCTTTAAACTAGCAGTGCAACTGAAATATCTATGGCACAGAGTGTACTGTCTTGAAGTCGACCACGTCTCCATCAGTTGTGTGGAGTGATGGTATCCACTTGAGCACCCCTTACAAAAGTTGATGCTGTGTGTGTTTCTAGTTCTCTGGTTGTGTTCCCATGTGTCAAGCAAGGTGTGCTGTTGCCAGTGTTGTTCTCGCTGTAATCTGTGTCACTCCAGGAAGTCCACTACCTCGGCCAGCTCCCTCTGTCGTGCCTGTTTGTGAGCCCAGCGTGCCTCGGCCAGCTCTGGGGAAACTTTCCACTTCTCATGAAAGATCTGACAACCACATCCTGGACACTTCTTGCCTCCTTCAACACAGAAAACAAACTGTGATAAGGCATTCATACAAAAAGCTATTAACCAAATTAAAAATTCATCATTGTAGCTTCTACTCTGAAACTATTTTTGATGTCTATGAAGTTTGAAGCAAGTCAGGGTGCAAGCAAACGTGACCTTTTTTTGCCCATCTTTGGTATAGTAAATGGAAGCACTCATAGCATAACGTAACAATAATGGATGGCTATCCAGTATTTCTCAGACTGAAGTCTTGACTAAAAGAAAGCAAGTAAAACTGTTTCCCTATGAGACCAGTGAAGATCCAGGTTATAATTGGTCGTCAGTAAACCATGCTTGTCATAAGAGGCGACTAACAAGATTGGTTGGAGAGACTCACTGACTTCCTTGACACATGTCATCATATACCCATTGAACAGATCAATGCTCATGATGTTGATCACTGGATTGTCTGCCACCATATAGCTGGAATATTGCTGAGTGCAGCATAAAACAACACACCAACCAACTGCTATAAAAACTGTATTTGGTCTTGAAGCAGACATAAAATGCCTTCCTGCAGGACGTCAACATTGCTGTAGCCTAGTAACAAGTATTTTGAGCTTTTCAGATGTTCTCACTTAAGTTGCATACTGTTATTATGGGAGATGAAATGCTGCTGTTTGTATTCTTCAAATTCCTCAAAGGACTCTTCCTTTCATGTACTTTCACTCAAGTACTTTCATTGCTATTGAAAGAAGGGTTGCTTCCCTTCGAACACAACATTTAAGATACTAAACAGCTCAGATACTAAAACCCTTGACAAAAATTTTAATTTAAGATAATTCCAAATGATCACTGTATGTAGCACTAATTTGAATCTGTTAGTGGATAATGATACATTACCAAAATGAAGTAAAATATCTCCAAGGTGTGTCGCATTAAGCCTGTTGCAAGAGTGACACTTCACTGACGTCACAGTCGGACACTGACCCCACAGTTGAACACTGATCTCACAGTCTGATACTGACCCAACAGTTGGATACTGACCTCACAGTCGGATACTGACCTCACAGTCGGATACTGATCTCACAGTCAGATACTGACCTCACAGTCTGAAACTGACCCCACAGTCTCATACTGACCCATAGTCGGACACTGACCTCACAGTCACAGTCAGACACTGACTTCACAGTCGGACACTGACCTCACAGTCAGACACTGACCTCACAGACAGACACCGACCTCACAGTCGGACACTGATCTCACAGTCACAGTCAGACACTGATCTCACAGTCAGACACTGATCTCACAGTCAGACACTGATCTCACAGTCAGATACTGACCTATGAAAGGTGGAGTCTTCATGTAGGTGTTGAGACATCCAGAATGAAACAGGTGGCCGCAGTACACACGCTCTAGTCTCTTCTTCGGCTCTCGTGTTGGGGCCTGGGATGAAAACAAGTCACTGAGATTCTTGAAGTCCAAATACAACAAAACATGTTCACTGACACTGCTAGAAGCTCTGTCCTCCAGTGTGGCTTTGCTTATGAGAGATTCTAGCCAAGCTTTGGTTATACAGCCATACAATATACCTTTGTCTTACATCAACAAGGGGATGAGACACTTCTTGACCACAGCTAGCATCACTACAGACATCACATCTGTGAGGAGGTGTTTCTCACCTATGAGGGAAGCTAGGAAGAGAGGCTGTTATGTCCACAGAGAGGCTATGGTGACTAGTAAGGGAGGCTATGGTGACTAGTAAGGGAGGCTATTTTGCTCAGTCACAATACTATTCTAGAGGTCTTTCTGACCAATGAAGGAGGCCATTATGTCTGCAAAGAGGCTATAGTGACTGGTGATGGAGGCTTTGGTGACCAATTAAGGAGGCTCTCTTTATGCAGGGAGCCTCTCCTGACCAGTGAGGAAGATGATTCCGCCCAGTAAGGATACAATTCTACCTTGTGTAGGAAGTTATTCTGAGCAGGGATGGATGCCATTGTGACCGTGTAGGAGGCTATTCTACCCAGCAGGAGGCTATTTAGCCTGGACATGGAGAAAATTTCACCTCAGGGTCTTCAGACAGGACATTGTCCTTGCACAGCTGACAGGCTTCCTTCGGGTAGCGCTTGCAGCAGTCTCGGATGAGGAACTCGCACACGGGACGAAGTGATGGCTTGGGCTGGAATGGAGGGTCTCTGGGACCCCAGGTAACATTAGAGTAGTGGTGACACATAATCCAGGGCAGCCATTAATAGATCCAGTTTATCATCACTTATATTTTGGGATCCAGTAGGGCATCAATCACATTATTGGAGAACTCTTATTTAACAATCATACAACTTGTGTAATTGCTATTAAAGGACAAGAAAACACTGAAAATATACACTACAGTCTGACACCAGTGTGTGGAAGTTGAAGAGACCTTAGCAAATACTTCAGTGCTATCTGAACAACCAGAAGTTGGAGACACCAGTTTCACGTGTTGTTTGAAAATGTGCAGATAAGGAAATGTCCAAGTATGTCACATGTTTACAGTATTTAAAAGTCTGTTTAATATCCACAACAATTTAGGAAAATCACATAAAGAAGGAAACCTGTTTTACCTTTTTATGGTATATTTTAATTTTTTTCACACAATGCAAACTGTTCTACTTACTTTGGTTTTTTCTTGAGCGGAGGTTGGACACATTGTCGGGAAATCTCAATGGCTTGTGCCTGGAAAAATGTCTTTAATAATGGTGGAAAGTTGCAGTCCTCAATCTCACATCTGAAACAATATTTAAAGCATTTGACAAGCACTAATATACATCTTTCTTGTCAGCTGGAATGGCAATGCAAGATTTTATGGCTCTTCGCGATGTAAAAATATATTTATGACAGTAGAAGTTATCTCCCTTGGACTGCTTACTGCTGTAACATCTCACTCTAAACATTGTGCAAGTGGTCAGTGGGTCAAATATTACCTCAAGGCACAAAACATTATCAAATTTAAAAAAATAAATTCTATGCAATGCATAAACAAATAATATAAATAACATAAAATAAACATCAACATAACCAACACAACAATTATGACCATTTCAGCACTGTCAGAAAATCAATTAACACAATATCCCTTATAGAACATACCAGTTATGAAAACAGTTCTGTATTCAGGCACTGTCATGAGAATTTCATTATTGCTGTAAATCCAATAATACAGAAATACAGCACTGCACCAGATAGGCATTGTGCCAATAAACATGGAAATACATCTGGGGCTAAAGAGGAACAAGAGCCTGAAGTGAAGCAGATCATCTCATGAGATGATGCTAGCAGATGAAAGAGAGAAGGAGAGAGAGAGAGAGCAAGAGAGAGTGAGTGAGCAAGAGAGTCAGTGAGTCAGACAAGAGAGGGAGGAGGGAGGAGAAAGAGACAGAGGGGAGGGGGAGGGGGAGGAGAGACAGAGAGAGGGGCAGGGAGAGGAGAGACACAGAGAGAGTGTTACTCACTGGACTTGGTGCACAGGATAGTCGTTCGGCACAGTTACTCGGAGATTCATGAAATAGCTTCCCTGCTTCACTTTTATCACAATTTGTGAAGTCTTTTGTTTTAAAATGACTTTGTCATCTTCAGACACGAGATTGCGTTTGATGTATGAGATCTCTTCGTTACACACACACAGCGGGTTTTCCTGAAGGAACGTCTTCACAAACATCACCATCAACACCACCTGCAACAAGGCAGAGTTCACAGGATGGACACGTCATAAACATCACAGTGCAAACTTCAAACTTGATTTTTGTATGATGAACAACATTAAAAACACAAAAAAATGCCTTTATTCTACGTTCTTTGTTTCACTTGATTGTAAGGAATATATTTATTTCACCAGCTGACAAACAAACTATACTGAGTCAAAAAAGAAACTTCACATTCTTTCTTCAGTGCACTATAAAAGAACAAGAGATGGTAAGATGGTTAAATTGTTATTATTTCATTGCTGAGATCTGTGTGATGTACTCGATACACTGACAGTGCCATAAGCAGTTCCATTAGGCTACACCGCCGTTCCAAAACATGGGTATACAGAATGTCAAGTCACAAGAATAAAAATGCGAAATTTCTCAGTTCAATATCGTGTATGGCCGCCCCGCGCATTCACCACTGCCAAACACCGTCTCCTCATCGACTGCCTGATGCTTGTGAACCGTGGTTGGGGATTCTGCGCCATTGCTCTTGCAAGGCAGCCAAGTTCCTGCAAATTCTGAGGTTGGTTCCTAAGACCACGAAGCCTTCTCCCAAGTGCATCCCAAACGTGCTCTATTGGATTAAGGTCAGGGGACCTCGATGGCCAGTCCATGATGTTGATTCCAGCGTTTTGAAGGAAATTTCGAGTCAACATCGCGGTATGCGGCCGAGCATTATCATGCTGGAACTGTAGACCTGGGCCATGAGCCGCCATGAAAGGAACGAGTTCAGGGGTGAGCACCTGGTCACGGTAAGCAGCAGCTGTGAGGTTTCCACGGATGACCAGAAGTCGGGAACGGTTGTTCCCACAGAAAGCACCCCACACCATGCAACTTCCGCCCCCGAATCTGTCGACTTCCTGTACACGACATTGGGCATACCGTCGTCTCCAGACTCTATGCCTTCCGTCCGCGAATCTGAGGGTAAACCTGGATTCATCGCTAAAGACAACTCGATTCTAGTCTCTCTGGGTCCATCGGAGGTGAGGTTGGGCCCACAGCAGACGTTGACGTTGATGAAACGGCGTCAATATTGGCCCACGATATGGACGTCGAGAATGGTCTGTGAGGACAGTCGACCTCTAAACATCTCAGCCCTGGTTCGTGTAGCCGGCAGAAATCTGTCACGTAGGTGACGTAGGACGATTGGCGGTCTTCTGCTCGTGACATGACCGTGGGCGACCGACCTTGGGCGATCAGAAGTGGTGCCAGTTTGTTGTAGACGACCTCGCAAGTCATGCACAGTACGACGGCTGCATCCCATTGCTCTTGCGACGTCAATAACTGATCTTCCCGCTTGCAACATGCCAACGGCATTGCCGTTCACGTTGCACATTTGACAATTGTGGCATTTCAAGTACCGTTAAAACTGTGGTTTAAAAGTGTTTTTTCAATTCTTGAGGCCAATGCAAACACGTGCATATGAAGAAAACTTTAATGCGAAGATCACGTGATCGACTGCACGTGCAAAACCTGATTTGGCACTAACGTCATTTGCACGACGAATGGATGGGTTTGAGTGAGTTTTGCTAACGTTTTTCTAGAGTCGAAAGATAGGGATCCCATTTCGGATACATAGATGTATGATCAGAGAAAAATTATTCATTATTTTCCAAATTACATTTTGTGAAGTTTCTTTTTTGACTCAGTATATTTAAAGGCTGACGTACATGCTGTTTAAGCAACATGGTAGATTTTATGTTCATGACCACCCTACCTCCCCAGAACAAATAGTGTCACTCCCCTCTCATCATCACTTCCCCTGGCCATAAATCATAAACAGTCCCTAACAGTAATCTCGTGGGGACAAACTTTAAAAATCTTCAGAACCATATTTCAAACTCCAAATTTTGAGTGAGTGAGTGAGTTTAGGTTTACAACGCTTTTAGCAATTTTCCAGCAATATCACGGCGGGGACACCAGAAATGGGCTTCACACATTGTACCCATGTGGGGAATCGAACCCGGGTCTTCGGCATAACAAGCCAACTCTTTAACCACTAGGCTACCCCACTGCCCCCCAAATTTTGAAACTGATCACAAAATAGAAGAGGGTACAGATGAACAAACTGTTTTCTCACTATTTAAAGCTAGTTTAAGTCAGTTAATGTAGTGTGCCCTGTGTCACCCTTCTTCCCCTCTACCCATCTGCTACCTTGTGACACTGCTCTACTCTCCCTACCTGTCTCTGTCCCACATTCTACCCCTCTACCCGTCTTCCCCTCTACCCGTCTGCTACCTTGTGACACTGCTCTACTCTCCCTACCTGTCTCTGTCCCACATTCTGCCCCTCTACTACGTCTTCCCCTCTACCCGTCTGCTACCTTGTGACACTGCTCTACTCTCCCTACCTGTCTCTGTCCCACATTCTACCCCTCTACTTGTCTTCCCCTCTACTCGTCTGCTACCTTGTGACACTGCTCTACTCTCCCTACCTGTCTCTGTCCCACATTCTACCCCTCTACTCGTCTTCCCCTCTACTCGTCTGCTACCTTGTGACACTGTTCTACTCTCCTACCTGTCGCTGTCCCACATTCTTGCGGGCCTCCTCATCACACATCTTACACAGGCCGTCCAGCAGCTTGAAGGATAGACTCTTGCTCTTCAGCTCCACCACGATGGGCTGGTGTGGGTAGTTCTCCGGGAACATCAGATGGATGGTCACTTGTTTCTGCTCTGTCACACTGCAACACAGGGCAGACAGTGTCCCACATTCACAATGTCTGGTCAGGGAGATGTCAGAAACTTTGTCAAAGGTAAAAGATTGTATTGGTCATTCTGACATCTTCTCAACAGACATCACATAATGAACAGTTCAAAACCCTGACTGTCTCCACATTGGCTTTCACACACTTAAAATACAGACACCTTGATCATCTCTCATACTGACATTTACACACACATCCCCTCATCCTCCTACAATCTCACTCATACTTACAATAGGGAAACCCTCACTCATCCTCTTATACTTACAATACAGACACCCCTGCACTGCACTTATCCTTATATACTTACAATACAGAAACCCTCTCACTCATCCTCCTATATATACTTACAATAGGGAAACCCTCACTCTCATCCTCTGCTATACTTACAATATGGACACCCTTCACTCATCCTCCTATACTTACAATACAGGCACCCTGCACTTTTGCTCCTATACTTACAATACGGACACCCCTCACTCATCCTCCTATACTTACAATACAGACACCCTACACATTTGCTCCTATACTTACAATACGGACACCCTGACACTCCTATACTTATAATACAGACACCCTGCACTTATCCTCCTATACTTAAAATACAGACACCCTGCACTCATCATCCTATACTTACAACATGGACACATTGCACTCATCATCCTATACTTACAATATGGACACCCTGCACTCATTCTCCTATACTTACTATACAGACACCCTGACCAGTTCCCGGACAGAAGCCTCTAGTTTGACTCCCTCGATGCCCACTAGCCTCTGTCTGACCTGGGCCAGCTCAGCATCGATCACCTGGGTTGTCCCCCCTGCCATGTCAGTGTCGCGGCAGCTACACACTGCTAGTGTTATCTTGTGATCATCTGGAAGTGTGGTCTGCAAACACATGTTATACAGGACATTGTAATACGTGACTCGGGTGGAAATAACCCATTGCCCGACAACCCGAGTCCAGTGTTTTTTTCTGTCGGGCAAGCAAATTTGTATATCACACTGTACCGGTGTCCAGTTGACTTTCAAATATTAATTATGTTGTTTACTTAAAAAATCAACAAGAAAACGGACGGTATAGTGGAAAAATTATCAGGGCAAGTGATTTTACATGTGCCACTGTACTGGAGTACACTAGCAATGTTAAAGTTATTTCCACCCCTGGTGACTACACAGCATATATTTAACACATACCTGAAACAGAGAGGAAAAACTAGGGAAATACATAATACATTATTCCTTTTATCACAGAATGGAGAAAAAGAAATTTGTTTTACAAATCTCCCAAGCCAGTTACTTTTGACCCCCATTCAGTCTGTGAAGAAACCCATAATGTCAAGGCTAACTGCTTCATTGTATCCACACTTTCCTTTCCATCTTTATGATGGTGGTTTGTAAGCAATCAAGTCTGGGTCAGTCAAATTTGTCATTGTCATCTTGAAAATCAATTCCATCAACATGCAATCAATCAAGTAACTGAGCTCTAATACCTGCTCAATGTTGTCCCCTCTAATGACAAGCATCTGTTGCCGAGGACATATATTCCTACCCAGAATCAACTATGTATGCTTAAAAGTAATAAAACAAGATCAAACTGTAAGCCTTATTTGCAGAAATGGGAGTATTACATAAACTGTCACACAAGCAAGATATAAAATGTCCAGCTTGCAGGGAGAACACAGAATCATATATAAGTACATAAAGAGGAAGCCATCACTGTAAGTAAACTGATCGATCAGTACTAAATGGATTTCCACAATCAATCAAAATAGCAGGAGCTAACTGTACAGAATTACTATCAGTGGCAACCAATAGCTCCACAGTGCTTACTTGTATTTGGCTGGACCAACAAAGAGTATTGGAAAGGCTTAAGTGCTTAGCATTACACAACAGAATTGAATGCAATGTTGAAACACCTCTTAATTTCAGAAATTAAGATGATTAACAAACATCCCTACAAACTTTTTCCTGGTTCACTTGCCACGGTCACTTATACTGGAATCCTAGATAAATCACCACCACTACAGAGAAACACACCAGTGGCAACACAAACCCTAACAACATTAATAAATACAAATATTACATCTTGAAGACTAACATACACCTCCTTCAGAACGGAATGATTATTTTACAGTTCCCTTTGCGATATAATACTCATGGTAAGTAATAGAATGCTTACACTTCTATCAGTCATTTAAAGGACCACTTATCTTAGTTCATTTTAACTGTAGTTTGTACATATTACAACCACATGCAACAAATAGGAACGGAACTCCTAAATCAAGAAATAATCAATTTTCAATTTAAAAAAAAGAAGCTTTGAATTATAATAGTTCTGATAATCTTTCCTAAGTACCTTCAAAGATAACTCTAAACATAATTAGTTACCACTAATGTACAAATTCTAAATGGCAAAAATACAGCTTCAACTAGGATCACATCAGCTGCTACCCAGAGGTTTCAAGGGGGGATAACTCTAATCAACGACCTTCTCTATCAGCTTCATCTATCTAAACATGCCCTTAATCCCCAGTGTGGGAACATGCTAAGGGTAATATGTAGATCTATTAGAGATTAATTACCTCCCCTGGCCTACAGTGGTAAACTCAGCTGCCCTTTTGACGTCACATGGGCTCGGCCTGATACCATCACCAGCTGTTGCATCATCATTGCTCGGAGCTAAACCATCTATCAAAACTCATCAAATGCTGAATGGCTTCTGTGGTGACACTTAACCCATCAACACTCATCTATGAATCTTTTAGCAGTCAAAAACTCCCTCAAACAAGTTTAGCTGGCTAATATTGAAAGATCGGGGAGCCGATATGATCCGATGTCTGTGTCAAACAGGTTATGGTTACGTAACAGAAATAGGTTGTTGACAATAGGCTGATTTAAACGAAGACTGAAGCCATCTTTGATGTGTCATCAATATTGATAAGAGAAAGAAATCTGATTTAAAAACCATTAGTGTCATCAACTGATTGACGTAGAGTGTCATGGTGGAGAAGATTTAATTTAGTGTCAGGACATACAAAGTGTTCAAAGGTATAGCTTCCATTGATGGCTCATTTCAGCGTCTCCACTTACCTCCCTTACGATCCATCATTGTGAATTGTCTTTTACATCTCTGCATATATCAAGCTTACTGCTGTAAATTTATGTATTTCATGATATATTTATTTCATAATAGTTATCATTCATAAATTTACACAGTTTAAGGAAGTGTTTTTTTCATTCCCTTAAATGCTATAGAGTATTTTCTGTTAAAAAATTCTACATTTTGCTTTATGATGGCTGAAACAAATAGTTTAAGGTCAAGGATCTTAGAATAAGAACAACACCAGGTGAAATGTTAAAAATAAATAAATCACATAGTGATTAATTTCATGTTTGGAAACTATTTTGTTAAATTTACAGAAAAATTCTAAATCTTGCCTTACATTTCAACCTATAAAAGTGTCAAGAAAATTCTAATGAGCTTAAAACATAGGTGCCAAAATCATGCACCTCTTTAAATCCCTTGGAAGAGATTATCCTCCTTTAATCCCTTTCTACCAGATCAAGTAGCCCACCTTGCCCCTTAATGAGTGACTGAATCAGGTAAAACAAAAGATGTGAGGATTTAGTTTATTTCTTAACAGGTGTGGCTGAGGACGCAAAAACACCCTTCATCATTTGTAGAGAATGCTACTTGATTTCTCCACCATTGCAATTAAGAAGCTATTTTGACATGTTTACCTTGGCAGAGTGCTGCTAACCTAATTACCTTACACCTGATTATGTCAGTGTCTATCTTATGGTCTTCATGCTAATTACAGGTATAAAATTGTCACCTGGACTAGGTGTGAATTGATAGCAGGTGACGACACAAGACATTGTCTACTTTCTGGATAAAACAAAGAATTATGATGCAATCAACACCGACCGGTGTGAGATAGGAACTTATCTATATGTTCAGGTTCATAAAATACCTATCAGCTATAATCAAACATGCTAATTTTGTTTATACAATTAAAATAAATTGCAATAATATGCTAAACAGTTTTATTAGGTTCAATTAGTATTTTTGCCACATTTGTCAAGTTTTAACATAAACAAAAACATGTCATAAATAAAAGTATTCCTACAAAGCCTTAAGTTATTTATAAGTTCATGTGACAACATTGTCTTAAGTTAAGTAATTGTAACATTGTTTATTTTCTACAATGAGTATTGCATTGTTGGCAGATGAGTAAATAGAATATCAACACCCAGTAGTCAAGCAATATTATTTTTGCTTTAGTCAAAATTTTACCATCAAACAGTGTACAACATTCCTGCATCAATATTGACACGGAACAGTTTGATTCTACATCCCTTGCATCAATATCTCTACCAAGTTTACTCTCCTCAAAGCAACCTCTTACTGTTTCCTCAGAAACAAAAGTATTGACGGATTGTTAAATACTTGACTCAATCTCTGTGAGGTTTGTCCCAACACTAACGAGTAACTATTTTCAATGAGATCATTTCAGCCCAAGAGGCATAATTAACATGGACTTTATTATTTCTGATAAGTTATATGATAAATATTTTGTTTTTCATGTTTGTAAATAATCCCTTATGTCAGAGGCCCAGATAAGCTGCGTATCCGGGTAAAATGCGCATAAAAATTTCCAATTACGCATTGAAACATAATTGTTGCGTACCAATTCGCATTTAAAATGTTAGATATGAAAAAACTTTAAAAGAAATACGTACAGAATATATTTATAAAAATCGTTTGCGTAATGAAAAAGACATCGATTGCTATCAAGTTGTACTGTTAGTATAGGACAAGTGTTATACTGTCAGTATAGGATAAGTGATTTTTTATGAAATCATTTCCATTATATTTAAGTTGGTTTGATTAGGTATGACATAAGGCAGAACATACCTGCTTAGTAAACTTGCTCAATGACATAATACTTAGGGGAGTGAAATGGCTGAAATACGCACATATTTGAAAGCAGTGGGTAACAGAAAATGAAATACCCACTCAACATTCATAATACCCACTCCAAAAAAATACAGTGGGTACAGTACCTACATGAGCTAAATCTTATCTGGAGCTCTGCCTTATGTATTATCTTGGATTCTCTTTTATGTGAATTACATCTAATTTCAATGTACATAATAGTCATTGTGTGTTAATGGCTTGTTTTAAATTTTGTCACTTATAATTCTCCTGAATGAAAGTTTGTCACACAAAAAAAGAAACAGAAATTCAATGTGAATTTCAAAGGTTAATTCATGTATATTCATATATTGTAAAAGTTAGCAAGATTCTGTCACATGATACAAAACTGGGATACCTGACTATCTTGATAAAGGTTTCCTCTTTGAAACTGAGTTTTACTGTATATGATAGTTTAATTACCTCAACAAACAATGTATTTTGAAAAACAGGGCTATCTAACTGATTAGACTGGAGTAATGGTACAGTAACTAATCAAAAGGTCTTTTCATCTAAATATACTCCTGCACCCAATTCATTCATACTGCTTTGTATTTTTAATTTCATGTTACAGAAACAAATTTAACACCTCATTAAATGTGGAAAAACAAGTGAACAGGTCTTTCAAAGATGGGCCTTGGTAAATATTTCTACAAAAGGGATATGTCACTTGTTTTTCTACAAAGGGATATATGCCAATCTTGACTCAAGTTATCCAATCCAACCTCCAATCAATGGTAACTGGCAAATATTTCTTCCCATACAATACAGCACAGAAACACAAAGATAACAACAATTCTGCCACAAATTAACTGCCTTTGAGGCATGTAAACATAGATAAACATTTATCTTTCGTCTGAAAAAGCTTGTTACTTCATTAACGAAAACTCGTTAACTTCAGGTAAAACAAACCGTAGCTGTCATAGCATCTTGGTGCTAAAAGAAGACGTCCCTAAATGTGAGAGTAAGCCTATTGTTATTGGCCTATGGAGCATGACTACATTGTTGTAAATCTATTAGCACCACAGACTGTGTCGGGTCTGTGACGAGGCAATCATCTGGGACACCTTCCATACAAATGTCAGCATCAAAGAATTTACTCAATTCTGCATGCTATTATCGAAATTCCAAGTGCTTTGTTTCAGTTTTAAACTTAAAATACTATCCTGCTCTTGTAATTTCAACATATTATTCACAGTTTCTCCTCTAATACCTAATTTATTCTCACTATTTTTTGCATTCTTATCTTTTCCAATTTCTTTCTTTCTTTTATACTTTTATTTTTCATTTGTTCTTCCAAAACTCTCATCAGTTGGTTAGCTACACACCTATCACCTACAGACTTTGGGTACGGTGCATTATTCCTCGACTACAATTATTATTAGGTTTATTAAAACACACCTACCCTGTTGATGAATCGGGCTCATCATCATCATATAACTGTAAACAGTATGAGGTAGAGATTATCAGTCAAGTGTGTTTAGCAGAGCTCAAGATAAGATTTAGCTCATGTGGGTACTGTGCCCACTGTATTTTTTTGGAGTGGGTATTATGAATGTTGAGTGGGTATTTCATTTTCCGTTACCCACTGCTTTCAAATATGTGCGTATTTCAGTCATTTTACTCACCTAAGTATTATGTCATTGAGCAAGTTTACTAAGCAGGTATGTTCTGCCTTATGTCATACCTAATCAAAACCAACTTCAATATAATGGAAATGATTTCATAGAAAATCACTCATCCTGTACTGACAGTACAACACTTGTCCTATACTAACAGTACAACTTGATAGCAATCGATGTCTTTTTCATTACGCAAGCGATATTTATAAATATATTCTGTACGCATTTGTTTTAAACTTTTTGCATATCTAACGTTTTAAATGCGTAATTGGTATGCAACAATTATATTTTCAGCTTACGCAGCTTATCTAGGCCTCTGGTTTAGGTTCATAACATCATATTTAGGAACACGCCTTTATGTAAGGCTTTGACCAGATTTGTAATTTCTATTAATTAGATGATATTTACTTGGCATATGCAATGCCTTCATAAAAAAATATCAATTACAAAATAACAAAGGTTTAGGACATACTTTCTTTCACTGTTTGTTTGTTGTTTAAAGCCACACTCAACAATATTCCAGCTATATGGCAGTGGTCTTTCACTGAAGTAATTTTAGACATCACATTGAAATATATTTCCTGAGTAAAGCACACCATGTATTTCACAGTGCCACATGGTTTGCATACAATTTGTTCCGCCATGGGTGAGTGAGTGAGTGAGTGAGTTTAGTTTTACGCCACTGTTAGCAATATTCCAGCAATATCATGGCGGGGAACACCAGATATGGTCTTCACACATTGTACCCATGTAGGGAATCGAACCCAGGTCTTTGGCATTATGAGCGAACGCTTTAACCATCCGGCTACCCCACCGCCCTGTGCCATGGATGAAACCTCCAGCCCTTTCACATCATGAAACCTGTAACAGTCGCACATCAAGAAACCACAGTGTCAAATTGTGTGTCCATGTGAGTGTTAAAATATTAAACCCCACAATCCTGCTATTTGGCAGCAGTTTGTAGCTAATCAAGACTTGACCTGACAATTCTGTGATTGATATTACAGTGATCTAAATGGTGCTTAATTTCACTGTGCCCTTACGGTGAGACTAAAATTTTACAATTAATGCTCACTATCATTCATTTAATGGAAAATTAAATTGACCACGTCAAACGATTCAAATATTGTTTTTCCACCCCTTCAGAGAATTATATGAGGCAATCTTGATTTAAAAAACTTAACCCAGGTACAGCCAATTTGAATGCCAGTGAACATGACAGGGAAATTTCATTTTGGATAACAAAGTTTCTGGGTTGGCAGAAGATAACATCTGTTAAACCATGTCACAGAAGAGAACCATAAGCATTTTACATCCAGTTGCTGTGAAAAATAAGAATTATTCACTTGATGATGGTATAGAAAACACTCACGCTATTATCAAACAAATTTGAAACTGAAGTCTGATAGGCCTAACATAAGTGATCCAAACCTCCAAATTGGGGAACTAAAATATATGATTTGTGTGGCTCGAAATGAGAGGGTGCATAACTGATATTCTGCAAAGTTGGCAGAAACTTTGGCTGTGCAGTCCACACCTCATCATTTTGTTATTGGGTCAAATGCTTTCAAAACCAGTAACCTGGAACTGCTCATGGAAAGTGGTGAACATTTGCTTGCTCTTAGTGCCGAAATTGTATAAGAAATTAAATCTGAGGAATCGAGTATTGAGAATGGAATAATTAATCAATATAAGAGTGAGTAAGGATTTACGCCGCTTTTAGCAATATTCCACCAATATCGCCGCAGGGGACACCAGAAATGGGCTTCACACATTGTAGCCACATGGGGAATCGAACCCAGGTCTTCAGCGTGACAAGCGAATGCTTGAACCACTAAGCTGCCCCACCACCCCAATTAATATAAGAAAGAATCTGAAAGACTTGGAAATGATTTATGAAGTATTGGCATACTTGTTTTCACAAAGGCACACATAAATTATCTGTCCAGTGCCCTGTTATATTTCTATCCATGTTAGAACCCTTGCTGTAATGGTAGGGCTGTGTATTGGCAAATAAATTGTATTGCAATATGTTGCAATTCAGGTACCTGTATTGCGATATGTATTGCAATATATTGGGACCATAAGTGTGTGACAGTGAGTGACACTATTTGTGCATGTCAATCCTATTTTTTACACTTTTAGTCCCTAAACAAATATGTTATGGTTCTAATAACAGCAATCTCAAAATTAGGTTTCATAGTCAGGGGTTCTGTTTTCTTTTTTAAACGATTTATAGTATTACAGTATGCCGTTTTGTCATTGAATAACGGAGGAAAATATTAGTTGGGAATGAAAGTCTGTGTAGATTTTAATTTAAACCATAAAGATAACCACAAAAACTTCATATATGTTCTTAACCAAATATACCATTCTCAGAAAAAATATTGCAGTACATATCGTTTGAAAAGCATATTGCGATATACTGGTAATACCGTGCAGTCCTATGTAATGGTACTTTGAATATAAGCACTGAGTCTGACCATCCAATACTTTAGCCACAGCAGAGGAAGTTGAACTTGAGAAAAATGCTAACACTGAATCCCCACATGTGTGAAATCTTTGGGAGACAGCATTATACAAAGGTTTCCTAGCAAGCAGTCATCACATTTATGTATAGATAGTAAGAACATTGAGTGAATTTAGTTTTATGCCACTTTTAGTAATATTCCTGCAATATCATGGCTAGGGACACCAGAAATGGGCTTCACACATTGTACCCATCTGGGGACTCAAACCTGGGTCTTGAGTGTGACAAGTGAACGCTTTAACCATAAGGCTACCCTACCGCCCCTAAGAACTCTGAATGGCATTAGAAGTTTGATATGAAACTTTTGACAACATAGTATTTTTTTCAACTCCTATATTCCGATTGTGGCAATATATCGGCTTAGATACATTCTGGGACGAAATTGGACGGAGGGTTACTGACTGCAGGTAGACAGCCACTCACACTTGCACAATTGGAACAGAGATTGGTGTTTGAGTGGAACCACTTGCCTCAGGCATTCTTTCAGACTCTTGTGAACTCAATGAGGCGACGTTGCACGGCCTGTGTGCAAGCTCAAGGTGGCTACACGTGCTACTAAAGAGTCTGTCACTTTTTGCGTTCAGAAGTATGTCCATTTGACGGACTCTGATCAATTTGAACTTATTGCAATTCAATGTCAACAGCAACTTTCAGCTGTTAAATTGACAGTGTTTTCTATAGCATAAATGATTAGACATAATTTTGGTTGTCTTATATTTAAAAATTTGACAAAAAGCCAGACTTGCGTTTCTTTTGCTGTTCAGTATATTATGTGGAAAACATTAGTTTTCTTATCAAGAGATCCATTCAGCAAAGTATTCTGAAAAGCACTAGAGTGAATACTAAATCTAAACATTATAGCCCGTATATAATTCATAAATATGTAGCCGAATAGATTTGGCAACATCACGTGTTAATGACACCAATGTTGGCATTAAATGTATGTACATAAAAGCTCCGGTGTTCTTAATTTGTATCAATTGTAGCCTTCTTGTTCTGACTGAAATGTTCAGACATTCTTCAGTTACAATTACAGATTGTCGTCTGCTGACGTTTCCCTTCATTATTGTCTTGCGTGTAATTAATCACAGATGGGAGTAGGGTTCTATTATGTGTAGTAATCAAAGTTTTAACCATAGAAAATGTAAAACATACAAGGTTTTACCTTAATACCGAGTTTCACAATGTCACAAACACGGTGCAACACTCTCTCATGATGTTCCGCGTACACATTTCTATGACGACGTCTTCTGTTGATTCTGTAAATGAATGTGCGAGAAGCAAATTATCTATAAAAAGGTAAATTAGCCAAATAAGAAGACCCTTTAAATTTACGTTCCGACATTTGTTACAATAATATAATCAAAACAAAAAAATATTAATATTTGAGAACATCAAGTTAAACAAGGGAGGCTATTCACACAGAATTAAGCTACTAGCATACCACTAGTAAATATCTATGCAATGACAGATGTTGTTAAAGTTTATGGTGTCCATTAGTTGTGATATTTTCTCGTATACTGAAACGTGTTAAACATTTTAAGAAACGTGATATCGTGCAAATACTTTCGAACGTTAAAGGATATGGAGATACGTGTACGTGTGTGTGCGTGTCTGTGTTTGAGCGTGCGTGCGTGTGTGTTTGTGTAAGTCTCTAAATATACATGAGATTTGTACGCAATCAAGTATATAAGTTAATTTATGCGTCACGAACAATTAAAAATTCGTGGCAAACAATTCATACGCGTTGAGGAACTCAGTAAACTATAGTAATCAATGTAATATCAGTAGTAACAGACTCAAGTGTGATAATGTACGCGCATTTGCTACAGGTGCGCCATTTACTGACTTGGTGAAAATCACATTAGGGACTTTTCTCAACTAACTGTATTTTTTAAACACCCACGCATTCACGAAGTGAGGAGATTAACTTTTGATCAGCAATTTACATCTATTTTATCAAGTTTGACGGAGTGTTAATCCCATCTCTTCTCTAACATTCTTTACAACGATCAATAGTTTTGCCGCAAGTTCAATCTTAAGTACTTTACGACATCGAAACTTTAACCATCGGCGAAAAGTCTAAACAAAGAGATGATCTCAGGCTTGCTAAGCAAAGATAAGAACGAAATAAACTGCATCACCTTTTTGCAGATTCCTTTATCTGCTCAAAACATGGCGGAAATCTCGTGTTTTAAGCCTTTGTATGTATCCATAAGCAGATTACTTGGCCCTCATATCTACATGGCGGCAACTTCAAAGAGCGCTTCTCTGATTTTATCTATCCACATACAAAGCCATAATCACCCATTTATTTACCCAGAGGAGTTAAGTGTCTATCCTGGTCAGCAGATGTTCGGTCATAGATGTTGGACAGAAGGACTGGGGTCAAGTTGAAATAAAACACGAACAGTGACCTGTGAAACGGACAATTGTGTAATTGCTATCTGATTGTCCTTTGACAATAGCTATGACGTGTTATGTGCTTATGAAATGTACATGTTTGATGAAGAGTGTTTCTCGGGAAACGCGTCCTTCAAAAGCACCGTAGAGGTCACTTAAGCTTGAAGAGATGATCGATCGTTGTGAGAATGAGGATATAAATACATAAATATATGTATATGTCACTGATTACTGTGTAAATACTTCAACGTATGTGATGTATAGTTAATGTATAAAAAATCCGTTAATACAAACACACACGCGCGCATACACGTGAAATATATACCAGAGGGAAAGAAACGAGTGATAGACAGAGAGACAGGTCGACTGAAATACACAATTTAGGGAGAAAGGTGGGGTAAACAAAGAGGAAGGTATAATACATTATTTCAACTGTACATACTCAATGGATACACGCTCCACAAATGGTTTATGAACATATATGCATTTTCTTCTTGCGTAACATTTTGTATGTATCCAAAAGGAGTCCCTCAACATCATGTGGCCACAAACAAATTATATATTTACTTCAAAATTTGTCAAAAATGTAGTTGGTACCTTTTAGTTTCACGAGCACATTCTAAATACACCAGAGTCGAAAATCTTAAAAGATGAACATTTCACAAACAAACAAAGTTATAAAGCATAATAAATGACATTATACACCACCCTGAAATGTACTTCCTACGCAAAGGAAGAAAGATGCAACAATTCACAATTAAAACTACTTGATCAGAGATAAGCTTGACAGGTTTGCTCAAATCTGTGTAAACTGTCGATCAATTTGAGCAGTGCGTGTCTATATCACGACGAACAAGCAATCATTTCTTGTCTCGTTTTAGAAATCTGAGTAGTTGTTTTTAAGTCGCGACGCCGACACACGTGACGGTCGCGTGTCTGGTACATACCTTGGAATGCAAATGAGTACAATTAAATGTACATCTGTTTTCCCAGACTGAATATACCCACTCTCCAGAACAAGCTCTCAAAACGCCGAGAAACAGTGTTGACCTTACACATAGTTCGCCTCTGTTTGTTAGTTTACGTATGACGATTGATATGTCATTTGAAAATGAGAGAACAAAAGAAACAGATTTATTTCAAAATAAGCATTATCTTCAAATACAGAAAACAAAATGTACTTTATACAGTTAATCTTTATCGCTTCACTGCCAACGAATATTTTGTGTGAAGAATTATTTCCACTGTCTTGCAATGACTTCTTTGATGGGCATTTTAGAAGTTGAGTTGATGAAGAATAAAGACAATTATTATGGATATACAACTTCTTTTATTCTGTGGAGGCGACATTTCGACGATATAAGAACCTATGTCGAAAAGTTTCCTCCACAGAATAAAAGAAGTTGTATATCCATAATAATTGTCTTTATTCTCCTTGTCTGGCAATGGTTTAATACATATGTGATAATGACTGTACTCTTCTGACTTATATTACTACCACTCATATCTCAATATTGTGTTACTAATGGTCAATACTGGCCGTTATCAGCCATCATAAAGCATGGTCACTTTGAGGTCAGCCTAACACTGCGACCATTGTGCGATGCTCTGGAGTTGATAACGTTTCCGTCAAGATGATCTCATTATAATTTTTGACATAATAATTCCTGGTTCGTATCTGAGTTCGAGTCGTAAATGCAGTGGGACGTTTAGTATAAATCAACGAATCATTGTTTTGACACATGTAATCAACATGAGTAATAAAAAGGTCACTGCCTTGTCGCTCGTAGTGGGGCACACATCACGTCTTTTATTACTGCTATAAACATTTTGACGTCTCCATCACGTATCATTCGCGAATAGAACACTTTATATACTACAGGTGCTGTTGGTGTCTATTTCGTGAAAAACAACATTGATGTAAGCGTTGTTTTCGTAAAAAAATGCTTTTGTTCAAACTTTCAGTAAACTGTATACCACACCATAAAATGAATATGACAGTGGAAACACGAGTGGCAGGTTTGTGGCACAAACAACATGATTTAATTACAGTTTTACTCGGGGTAGCAGGATTATACGACATTACGTAACTAAAAACAATATATCTGTTAACATCTTGTATTGTTATTATGATATTTGATAGAAATTATTATGATTGCATGCACAGGCGGCGTTTTAAATTTCGTTAAAATAAAAATTACATCGTTTTAAGTGTATAGGGAGCTGCGATTGAAATCCAATGCACTTCGATCCACTGACAATGGTTTAGAGTTTTAAGCATGGCCCTGTACGGGGTCGAAATATGTCCCATTGGACATACCATAAGTCTTTCGTATATCTTGTATAATTGTTTAAAAGTATCCCCATATATGAGATGTATTGACATATCTCCTTGGCTTGTTTAACGATCAAGATTGACTTTGTAAATGTATGTAGTAATGTATAGCTTAGAGTTCCTTACTTACTACATACAGGGAGAATAGAAGACGCTGTAGATTATCCCTGCTACATATTACCATAGTATTGATATTAATCTTCAACACAAGCAATGGACAACATGTCCTAAATTTACAAAGGTATATTGTTTTAGATGGCCCTTTTACCATACGCTTACCTATATTTACAGTAAACGTCTACTCTATTTGTTTAATGAGCATAGTAATTTCCTCGATATTTCATCACAAGAAAACTTGATGTCAGAAATAATTGCTTGTTATTTCAGCATTTTGTTTTGTCTGATTACAAATCAAGCTATCGTAGGTTTGTGTGCTGGTAATGGAATGATGATCGCTGTAACAGCTGTGGAAGGAATATTCAGATAAAATGAGGATTTGTAATGATAAGGCAATCATGTTTGCAAAAATGCCGAAAAAACATCTTATTTCAGTTGCTAGAATTAATTGACACGTTGTTTGTGTTACGTTACCCAGAAGGGAAAACAAACCGAAAGTCCATTCTCCTTTAAATTAGCGTATATACACGGTGGCAACCTCAACTAAAAACAGCCGAAATCATTTGAAGAAATATTTTGAATATACGATTTCTTGTAGGTCTCATGCTGTTGTTCGTTATCAATGTTTTGAATGATCTATTGATGATGAATCTACAGATGTTGGTTATAATTACACATTATTAAACACATGCTTTTATGAAAACATTAAACAGTTTTCAAGGTTACGGCAGGATGTGAACCATGCTTGCCTTGTGTACAGTGTTATTGGTATACATGTGTTCTATATTCTGTATACAGCCTGTCCCCCATAAGGCGGTCGTCTTAACACAGTCAGTACAAGAAACATATTTTGACAAAGCATCAACCTGGTAACATGTGGTATACCAAGCCCCTAAGTTGTATCCCCTAATGAAGCATTGAAATGGGGGGTAAATTAACGTTACCCGGAGTCAGCTGGGGACGAGTGCCGTTTGATCTTTCGCTTGACCCCCGCCTCGGGACACTATCCCCTGAAAAGAGACATTATTTCCTATGTGTTTTTATAACATGTTCCCTCAAATGCACACACGTCCCTGGCCAGACAATGTACTAGTTTAATTTCGCACTGTTGTACAATCATCGAATTGTATTATAATTTCTTTACGGTGAATAATTCATTTGTTTTAACAAAGCCCGCGTGGTTTCCTCCGTGACAACATTTTTCTTTTATCTTAAGCGCGGCGGCGAACTTCAAAGGGGTGTCACTTTGCGCTTGCTGCAAGATAATTAAGGCTGCGCAAGGTGCCCCAGAGATAGTAAACTCATCTACACAAAAACACAATTTCACAGAGTCGTAAATGTTTAAACAACTGCTAAAACACCTAATGTTAAAAGAAATGAGTGTGAAAGTGATTGTTTTGGAGCGGGATATATATACGTGACGAGTGTTGTTAGATGTTACCTTCAGGCCCACTCAGCAAGGAAATAACGTGATTTAACAGTATCATTTCCGATACATACATTTCTATATATAAATGAAATTGGTACAAATTGAAAATAAACGGAACAAAGATAGAGAGTGTATATATGCATGTCACGACAGTTCAAAACAAAACACACTTGGGGGAAATAACTATATGTCTTATACTCTCGAGTCTTCTTTAAGAGACTCGTTTACATACAGCCTTCTAGAAGACAGATGTATATAAAACCGGTAATAATAAAGTTATATCGGTTGTAAGAAAGAACCTTCAGGTCTTACTGTCTCAGTAAAATAGAACGTGGATGTAAATGTGAAATGGAAATGTCACCAGTTTGAGCACCGTTTTTTTAACGAAATCCAAATAATTTTTTCCTGAACAAAATGGTAAAAGCCCTTGAATATTTTGGTGGAATGTTTAAAAAAATGCGTACTTGTCACTTAAAGCTGGAAGTGTCACCAGTTTGTGCACCAGCTTTCCAGGGAAAAAAAACAAATAAATTTATACTGAACCAAATGGTAAGGGATAATGAATATTTTGGTGGGATATATTTTTTGTTAAATGTCCACTTGTCATTTCAAATTCGTCCCTAACCCTTTTTCGTTTAGTGTAGACACGTTGTTGTGTTCATGGCGTGTGTCGTACTTTGAATGATGCATTAATTTATATATTTATAGATCTTAACGGAAATATTTCGATGAGAGCCAACATGTGTAACGGTGAAGTGGCAGGGACTTATATACATTATGTCTCCTCCCAAGGCACGAGTAGACATTTGAAAGGCGATACTGACACATCTACCGTTATGTAATAAACATTCCACATTCCCTCGTCAGCTTTACGATTCCCCTAGTGTTTCCGCATAGACCATTCTCTCTATCGGAAGTAGAATCCTGAAGTCGGCGACTAATGACAACTACAGCGGCCGTAATGAAGGCTAATGTTCCTCTAATGCGTTTTACATACCCCACGATAGACCAGTATCTTTGTCTTTGGAGAAATCGACATAATTATATCACTGTAAGTGTCATAAATATGAAGGCGGTGAATGTATGTTACAGTCATTATATAGCAATTCACGCCATTAAAACGATGTTCGCATTGAATTTTCATAGAATTTCAATTAGACGTTAAGTGTAGGGTGAAATTACACACAAAAGCCGCTCTTTTTTCTCAGCATGGATCCTTTCAAAGATTATAAGATATTAATTTGCATTTAGTTGATCCTGTGACCAGACTTTCTCTTGTAATTAGAAACGGTAAGGAATTAGTGGTTACGTACACAGAGGTCAGGACCCCCGGCGCTGTCGGCTCAACTGTACATGCACGGAAGTCGACCACATACTCCCCAATGAACCGGCATTGTCAGGTTACACAACATATGGGCGCTGTTTATTCCCGTCCCGTAATCAATAGATTTGAGGTCAAATTTGAAATAAAATCGCAATATACCGGTATAACCCATATCTGGGTTTTACAACAGCAATGAGTACAATGGTTACAATGTATTCATATTAATCGTTTAACTGTACTCGATCTTGCTTCATAGAGTTGCATTACTACAGTTCCATACTAAAAGTACTAAAATCTATAATATTCTGCATCACGATGATATCTCAGTATGTTCCCACCAATCAATCTGTACAAATGTCTATGATATATGATATACTATTATTACGACGGTAAGGGAGCGTTCATACTTTATGGCTAGGATGTGGGGGTGGGTGTGGGTGGGGGTGGTGATGATTTTTATGGAGAAGCATGTACAATGTGAATGACCCCCCTAAAAATTATGTGCAAAGTAAGTGACCCCCCTGCATGCGATGTACAAAGTCAATGACCCCCCATCCCCTTTCCATATTTTTTAAAGCATAATTTTTAAGTATTATTATGTACTAAATTGCTGACGCCCTAGAAACGTGTGTACATAACTGATGCCCCCGAACAAAATGGGTGAAACCTCCCCCATAAAAAAAAATCAAAAGAAATCATCATCACCCCCTTAGCCATAAATTATGAACGGTCCCTAAATACAGTACTTATATATTTATAACACATGTTATATTGGGATTACACTTTCTCAGAAGAACAGATTCTAGTACTTTTGTTGGGTTGAGTCCCGTCCGAGATTCGAACCAACACTCTCAGGCGCCTAATCTTTTATATTTAGTTTATGACAAAGAGCAGTATGAAGTACAATTTACAATGTATATATCGTACATTAGAACTTTAAGGACTGACATTTTGTGTACTTTAATACGGAAGTTGTTATCTACAATAATGCTCCTTGTCATGTTTACGTCAAATATCTAATAACTGTGAAGACTCTCATTCGTTATGGCTGCCTGACTATGAAATGTGTCCACATAAAGTATTATTTTAATCTGCATATACTATACCAAATCATTGAATAGCATATGATAATTATAAGTTTATCGTCGGCTTCTGGCTGTAGCATGGAATAGCATACGATGACCAACCTACATATGTATTCGGAAGGACCATATGGTATCTCGTTTATTTTAAATTCCTTAAGATACACCGACACTCTAACATTATAATTTGTCTAATTGAGGAGTCTTTTGGAAACCATTTCAATTAAGGATAGTGTCCATCTGTGCTTTATCTATAATTGCAGAGTTTGTTTACAATTATTGTATTCTTTTTGTTATTTGTTCTTAGGCTTGCGCTTGAAAACAATTGGTAATTACTGACTGCATGGATCTTTAAGGCAATATTTCAAGGGGATGCTCACATAACAATTGAAAATGTCAATTCTAATTATTGGGTGCAAGTTATTTTGCTGTAAATACATAGTTAAATCTCTGTTGAAGCCAATTGGGCGTGGACAAAATTAGGATCAGAAATTAGCCATACTCTTTGAAGTTTCCCTATAGGACGTCTAAAAACAGTCCCGCAATCTTTGCTCATCTACAAAAACAACACCCAACCGAAGCCAGTCGAGCATGGGATAATATGACTGGGTGAACCGCTACGGGCACCTGCTGTCTCATTGGCTCATGCGGTCACGTGATTAACGGTCCCGCCAAATCTAAAAGGGAGACGAGTGAGCGAGTGATCACCAGTGTGTGGATTCACATCGATCGAGTGCGTTGGATTACTTATTTTGAGAATTTACCAGTGAGTGCTATATATCTGTGATGATGTCTTGCGTCAAACCAAGACTGAATCGTAGTCGACGATCGATGCTGCGACGAGAGGAAGGGTGTATCATGAAAACTCTCACATACGACGATTTTGACGAGACCAGTCTACATACATCAACACCATTTGCGGAACAGCCCTCGGATTTTCTGGAAGTGGATTTTCCTTCACCATCACCTGTGGCCAGCCCGAGACCCAGAAGACGGATTACTAGACCCCGTAGAATGTCTCCTGTGGCAGTGACTCTTTCTTTCGAGGATATGGAAGACGACGAGCAACAAGTGCCCGGTGAATGTGATTTTTCCCCGAAATCGATTTCCCCACCCCATCGAAGACTGCGTGCCTTGAGACTGTTCGATACCCCCCACACACCCAAGTCACTACTTCAAAAAGCACAGAAACAGAAAATCAAGGAATCTAGGAAGAAATCCCCATCAACAGAAAAAGTAGAAGCTAATGTCAATCCCTTCACACCCGGTAACAGACAGAGTGTAGGGACCAAGAGAAACAGATCGGATTTCGAAAGGTAGGTGGTGGCGGCCATGTTCGTTCAGCCCCTTTGACCTATTTAAATGGACTGACCCCTTCAAATTTGCATCTTCTTAGAATCATTAATTATGTTTGAATATACGTTTGTGAATACCTACAAGTTTTATATTGTTAAGTAGTGATTATCGTTCCATCGGCCTGTAATTTTATTTTTCAAATCTAGTGGGTATTTTTATGTCTAAATAACAGTTGTTTATGGAATGTTTACAAGACAGCAGTTGGTTGCGCTTGAATGACCATCGAAGCCAGTTTAAACTGGTTGATGTTGAGGGGGTTAAACTGACCACATCGTACCTGACCAGTGGGTGTATCAGAAATTTAAATGGATGGATACCAACACCTGGGTCTAATATGACTCATTGCTTATGACGTCAATCGGTAACAATAAGTTCTGGAAATTGCCATATTTGGTAATGACTAATAATGATTTATAATGATTTGGCAAAAAAAGGACCACATCATCCCTATTTTGGTACATTTTTTAAAAGTGATAAAATTTAGTTAGGATGACCATTTGATCCCGGTCAAGCTTTGGTATTATTGTAAATATCTTACCAAGCTTTTTTCTAATAGATTTTTTTTTAGATTTTTTTTTAGACAACCAACAATAAATTTTGATGTTTTTTGCAGGAGTTTATTAGATGAGTCAATGAGTGATGAAACAGAAGATATGGTTGACATGCCATCGAACAAGAAAATTGCCCTACATGAAATCAACACATCCCGCTATAATGAAGAGTTCTATGAAGTCTGCAAGCTTGGTGACGGAGAGTTTGGCAGTGTACACAAGTGTGTTCACAGACTTGATGGATGTACCTATGCCATTAAGAAGTCGAAGACCCCAGTAGCTGGCAGTGTCTATGAGTAAGTATTACCAACATGAATAATAAACGATTTATGTGTAATTTTGCTTCAATGTTACTAGTAACTGATCTCTTGGATGTCAGTGTAACATATAATAGTTTGTAATATAAAGTAGTGTTTCATGTTTATGTTTATCTTTTACAGACGCAATGCAATGAATGAGGTGTACGCCCATGCCGTCCTAGGAAAGCATGCTCATGTTGTGAGATACTACTCCGCATGGGCAGAAGACGACCACATGTTCATACAGAACGAGTATTGTAATGGTGAGTTATTCTACATAATAATATACATGGTGTAAAGGAAACTGATGGTTGGGATGAGACAGCAAACATCCTGACAACCACATTCCCCCGCCCCCCAACCTGTTACAATCAATATTTCTAAAGTCATCCTATATAATACATTAGATATGTAAGAATAAAAAAAAGAAATGTTGTGAATGTTTAGACTTGTATTAATGTAATATTTCTGTTTGTAGGTGGAAGCTTAGCTGACATCATCGAAGACAACCGAAGATCAGGGGGTCATCTGATGGAGTCTGAGCTGCGACAGATCCTGTACCAGTCCTCCCAAGGGCTCAAGTACATCCACTCACAGAACCTGGTCCACCTTGACATCAAGCCTGGCAACATCTTCATCCACAGAAACCCCAAGTTCCTAGCCTCACCAGAGAGTGGGATGGAGTCATGTGAAGAAGATGAAGAGCGAGAGGAAGCAGTCACATACAAAATAGGTATGTGTTGTGGTTATTCAGAAGCTGGCAAACATAAATGAATGTCAACATAAAATATAAATACATATAAGAAGTACATTGTCTTGGTAAAAATGTTTAGCATAAATATTTGTTTTGTGTGTTCCAGGTGACCTTGGTCATGTGACATCAGTCAGTAACCCTGTGGTAGAGGATGGCGACTGCAGATATCTGTCAAGACAAATCCTGAAAGAAGACTTCAGCCATCTGGCAAAAGCTGACATATTCTCTCTCGGATTGACAATATTCGAAGCTGTAAGTATCTCCCAAACTCTTATATACATGTATTGAATTATATAATATCCATCTTGTAATGGTTCTCGGTTTCCAAAGACAATAAATTGATTTGTAGTGTTTTATTGTGCTTATCTATATAATTTTTTGTTTAGGCTGTCTGCAAGGAGCTTCCCAAGAATGGTGATGTGTGGCATTCCATACGTGATGGCCACCTCCCAAGTCTACCCCAGTACAGTGCAGAGTTCCACAGCCTTCTCCAGAGTATGGTGTGTCCAGATCCCCGGGACCGTCCCTCTGCCCAGTCCCTCACAGTGCACCCACTTCTGTGTCCTCAGATTCAGATGACCAAGGCACAACTGAGGAAAGAACTGAATGAGGAGCGATTCAAGAACCAACTCTTGTCAATGTAAGTATCACTATAAATAAACACAATATTTAAGATTTGTAAGATTGTGGTGATTCAGGTATTTTTTAATTATATCTAATTATCTATAAACATAAACTTTCAGTCAGATAGTTAATATTATCTTGTTTTTGTTTTCCAGGAAGCTGATTGAAGCCACCCAATTCATGACCCAAGTCAGTCCTCTAGCAGTGCCAGTTGTAGCCAGTGCAAACCGAGTGCTTCCAAGGTCAAGTCGGCTTATTGGCAACAAGATGAAGAGAAGCATGAGTTTATCTGCATTTTGAGCGTCAGACCACGCTCTCCCTCCCACGATGTGATACTAATGTGCTCTACTTTTTATTCTTGGTTCATCCAAGCCCCAGGCTGTGACTAAAGTGCAAACAATGACTTCTACATGTGCCAGAAGATTGTATATATTAATAATGTGGACACAGGTGCTCTTGGTGACTTTTATGCGAGGATGGATGGATGAAAAATGTGTGCTGCAGTGGTTCCCGAAACTGAACAGTGATAATAATGGCTGGAATTTTATTTCCACGCATGTGATAAGCCAGAGGATGTCTGGGGCCCAGTGCAGAGTTTCTGAACAGACATTAGTTCACCTCTAAGACTGTTTCCTATGTAGCAAAGTTCTAAATTATGTATCTTTTCTATCTGTCAGTTGTCACACTTCTGTAGTATTTCCTCATCTTTGCAATGCCATTCCGAGTTACGTCATTTGATCTGAATGAAGGTATTATGTTCTTGAAACAAAGTTTGTTACGTTTGATGTATGGATTGTTGTAGACATGGTGCTGTAAAGCTTCACTTGAGGGGAGACAATGCCCCAAGTAGGCTATTTACTATTACTCCAATCATGATTTGTAATTCTCTTGTCTAGTAGCTGAATATTGTTAGGGAATTAAATATGCCAAAGATGTTAATGTACAATTTTTGTAAATAAACGAATGACAAGTGTCAAACAATAAAACGAAAAAATCAAGAAATAAAAAATCAAAGAAATAATTTCTGACTTTTGTGATGTGTACCACTTTGAAAAATATGCTTTTCAACTTTTGACAGGGATAGTGTGAAAATGCAGCTTATGAAATAGTTGTATCCCTATCAAGAGTTGGCATGCTCCTGGATTTATGCAGGCCAAAGGAACCCTGGAGTAGTTCTAGATTGGGTATGGATGTGTAGATCCTAGGTCGGGGAAGAGTTTATGCTCAAATATGGAGAAGCAAAACACAACTGAGTAATATTCTATGGGACAGATGCTGCCATTTTGTCGGTGAAATAATGAAAATTAGACAATTTCCTGATTTATCTTCAATTTTTATCTTTTCAACCCAATGCTGTGGCAAGAGCATGTACCAGAAACAACTGTTTTCCTTCCTTGTCTTTGGGACAAACGATATGGATGGAGGATAGAAACCAATATCAGTGCAATTTATTTTAAATTATTTATAAAACCAAATCTGCATTGAAGGGGGAAAGAAAATGATCATTGAAAATCTTATGTGGTTATGCGTTAACTATCCATGTGAGCCAATTTTTTATACTTTGTTGCCATTGTGCAAAACAATTTACAAGAAATGCCACATACTGTATAACCTAGCACCGAATAAGGAACTAGCCTTGAATAGGAACCAAATTTTGTTGATATATTTGCAGGTTGTTTTGAAAGGGATGTATGCTGCATATGTGCAATGAAAACTTCAAAAATCAAATCAACTGATGTTGACATAATTATTCTTTGATGTGCACAAATTACGTTTGACACATGATGCAAGATCAAGAATTTGTGGGGCCTTGTTAGCTGTAAAAAGATCTGAAGGAATTTGATACAAAAATACCTAGGTAGTTCAGTTTAGACAGTACAAAATTATTTTTCAGTTTACAGAAGTTCATGCCAACACCTGACAACAATAATCTATTGTTAGTAGTTAAAACAATGGATTTCAATGCTTCAAAAGCTGTCAACAGTAGCCTATTGTTTGTCCTACCTTGGAAGATTATGCCACATGTAATTACAAGGCTTCACCCAACCTAATTAAGCTTATAGGAATGTTGTGTTAACTTCCTTTCTGATTTTTCAGGGGAACCTGTCCTTAATTACCCAAACAATAGGATGGTGAACCTGACACTGATCTCCGTAGCTAATGAATCTAAATGTTATTACTGTTCACAAGCTACACAATCTGTTATGAAAACTGAGTTAAGTGGGTTTGAATGATTTCATTGCTACTACTAAGGGTGGCATGCTTGCCTTCTCTGGCTGAGTAGTGTGCACTTTAAACAAAGGATTTTACAATAAATTGATCTTGTGGGTTGTTTGTGTTGTTAAAAGTGGTATATGCTTTGACACTTAAATGTTAGCTTTGTTTAAACAAAGCTGATTTGTGAGGATAAAATGCCAACCAACAATTCCCATTGTTGTTACAATTTCTCACACCCAGGCATTTGTTTATTGATAAGACATATATTCTTTAAAAACAAAATAGATTGATTTAAAAGAATTGTGTAAATGATGTAACAAAATTCAGAACTCTTGGGGACATTTTAAAAGAAAGATGGTTGACTAGAGCAATTAATGTCAGAACTTAATCTGAGGTTTGTTTGAACTGAAATGTTCATCCTTAAAAGATACACAATAGTGTTGTTTGACATGGGCTTCCTTGAAGTGTGGATGTGTCAGTAGAGGATTACTGTTATACTAACTTGATGGAAACAAGTGCCTGTTGAAGCAATAAAAACTCCAACACATCACAGTCTGACCTTTTCAACCTATGAAAGTGTCACAGTTGATGGTTTTTACAGTGATGGACTGGTCAGATGAAGCGCCTGTGCTCCTAAGTCACTAAAACTCTCATCAATGCAGTTTAATGTGTCTCATGAACCTAAACCCTTTCTCTAAATCTTGTAGATCTCAAACTATTTCCATTCAATATTGATGACAAAGCTTGGGTAGATCAAAAATATATTTATTGTTTCAACTGTAGGCTGAAGCACACAATTATTCAACATGAATAAAATGTCAATAAAACAAGGATAAATGATAGCTCTGATTGAAATTACAATATATTATTGTGGGATTATTGAGTGTTGATGGCATTAAGGGTATCACTGAACAACACACAGCACCAGTCCTGCAGCTAATGATTCTGTATCGTCAAGACCCTTTCAACAATGTACCAAGTGAAGCCATTAGCTTGTTCAAAATCTATACATTTCATACAAAATCATAAATTATTTGCATCATGTTTTGAATGTTATGTTAAACAACCAAGAACAAGTGCATAAACTGCATTCATATTACTAAAAAAGAAACACATTCAGAAGCAAATATTTCTGATTATTTTTATACAGCATCTATCTAATTTCTCCAGATGCTGATTCACTGTTAGGTCTGATAAAAACAGAAAGGCAGTCACTGGCACCATTACTGTGACAGCCTCCACTATCTCTTGATACATTGTTGAACTGGCACTGATGTCTTTATTCTTTAAGTAATTACCAAATCAAGCACAAACTTCGAAAACGAAAATGTTCGAACTTGGTCAGTAAATAAATATCACAGAAATGTCTGAGGATTGAATATAATTTAAAAAGCATTACTATATATCATACTATACATGAGGTCTGAAATTGCACACCTCATTATGTTCATTAAGAACACTACCACAGATGGATGTCCTAAATCATGTGACCGTCAGATATTTGAAAACATTTTGATTGCTGACATCCTTTTTCTGATTATAAACAATAAAATAATTGCCATTGAGATAATACATGAAACAATATACACAACTTGAGCACTTTTTTACATTATTATTTTGTTATTTTTTTTATGATCGATGCATTTGGGTGAGGTATACACAGAAACTAATCTGTAGATCTCAGAAGTAAAGTACTGTAAGTAATAATGTATATATGAAAGGGTTTAACTTGAATCTTTGTCATCGATTAAATGAGAACCCAATGAAGAATGACATAACATGCAAAACTGAGTTCCTGTAACAGACTCTACATAGTGTAAAATATTGTCAATACGGTACATTCTTACCACATTAACAAAATATTGAAAGTGTTTTTTCTGAAGCATGTTGAGTAATGTGTCAATGAAACAGTCTTGTGGGGCTGGGCTTGATACACAGATTGGATCAATATTTGATATGTCAGGGTGTTACGGATGTTTGAAATCAAAATATCATATGCCCTAAAGTTTGCTACTTCCACATTTCAACATGATTCACACCAAACGTGTATCCCTATCCCACAAAAAGATCGAAATGTAATATATATATACATGTGATTTTCTATGAATGTGTGATTTTCAAATGTGATATGTTTGTAATGCACTTTGGAGGTGATTTAATGCACTTATAATCGATATGAAAAATTCATCACTGTATCTTAAGAAAATAGCTCATGAATACAGTTGTGCTATTTATTAGATGAATGAACATTATACATCTCTTAACATTAAGTAATCAGCACCCTAAACAGTGTTCGAAATAACGAGATGTCCCAGAGATTGGCTCCTGCAGTGTCGGAGTCAAGGAACCTCTAAATGTACCTTTTAATGTAAATGTTACTACAGGGATCCCTTGAATGTCTATTTACAAACACTGCTAAAAGATAGATATCAGAATACAATAACATGTTAAGGTCAAGACAAATGTCTACATCTCTGCAGTAACAACCCACTTCACCAATTTTCTGAAGCAAACTTGTTCCAGATCACCCATGAATGACTGAGGATCTTAAGTCCCTGACGGTCTGAACACCGAGACATTGAGCAGTACAATCAGTGGACATGAATAGATCACCACTAAATTGAGGGGAACAGAGCGATGGGACCATTTTACCCTTTGTACTCAAATTATTGTGGATATGGATGACTTTCAGAATGATGCCGGGTACATTTTGTACAGCCTAATCCTTCCATCTCCAATATAGGATGAAATTTGATAGGGAGGTTTGTTGCTTACTATGAATGGAACACTGAGCTGTAAGTATTATTGGGTGTTAATTCTATATATTTATATAGGCATCATGTCTGTTTACCAATCCATTCATTTATTGAATAAATATTGTTTAAATTCTATATTTATGTAAGATGTAGACTTTGGAATAGGTATGGCCTAAATTAACCCCCAAAAGGTGGACTTCAAACTTCGATCTAAAACCTCTATTTGCATGTGACCAAAGTTCTTATTCTTTTTCTTCCACAACAATAAGGCATCCTGGCTAAATAATGGATTCAACCACCAATAAAACAGACAAGTTTCAAATTTGTATCTATACATCCAACTTCAGTTACATGCCCATGCGCTGTGAACAGTTCTTGCTACAGATGGTGATATTTGCAGTTCATTAGAAAACCTCTGTAAGACCATCTTCTCGTACAGGTATTTGGCATTTTTCATGAAAACATCAGGTGAAGTGGACTGATACCATCTTGCAATAACATCAGTCCTAATGTTAATATATTGATAACAGAAACGCCTTGATGAAATCAAATTTCTTAAACTTTTCTTTTCTACCTTAAAATATTACATTCTTTCAAGAAAATACATCAGAAAATCATTCTGACTTCAGGTCACTGGTACAGCAGAATCTGCTAGTCATTGCTTAGGTTGAGATAACAAACAAGTCATTAACTAGGACATAGCACAATCTTTCGAAACATTGCAAAACATTTTTGATTTTTTTTTAAATACTAAGGTAAAACTATGAGAGCTGTATCAATACCAAATGAATAACCATTGAAAATCTACTGAATTCCAGTAAACAAATTGATTGAAAGATTCTGAAGACAAAACAACACACTTGAATTGACACAATATCACTCTCATGACAATTTGATATTTTGTACAGCATAATATGATACAATATACACAGATATATAAGCTTTTCTTCTATTTCATACCACTTACAGGCCATATAAATAGGTTTGGATTTGACTAATAAATAGAATGCAAACAATCACAGCATTTAGCCAGTGAGTCTTCCAAGGCTCGAAATATACAGTCTCTTCACTTGACCATGTTGACAGAGTACAAACTATATCATCTATACAACCTGAGAAACAAGTAACCTTCAACAAATCTGTGAGCTGTTCATCAGGGATCTCCACAAACTTTAGGGTACACTTCGACTGAAGGTCAGAAAAATCTTCACAAGCCTCAAAAGCAGTAACAGCATCATAGATATCTGCCATCCTCCTCCACCCCAGGTATTGGGAACCACATGATATACTGACCATTGACCAAGTTTATCTATAGTAGATTGATCTGGCTTGCTTAGATCAACATCCTATTGGGAGAGTCAAACCTGACCAAGGTCATGAAATGTTGATATTTCTGGATTGGCTAATTAATATCAACAGACATTGGAGTTGGCACCAAATGTCGATGGGGGCCATTCATGGTAGATACTGTTCACTGTTGGGTTTGCTAGGCATCAGCTCAGTAGGGAAAGACAAGGCAAGTACAAGGCTCTATACAGGTGGCACACCGAAATGTTGGACGTCTGTGTGGACCTCCATGCCTGACGCTGACCCTGGGAGTATTGTCATGATGACCATGCCCACTGCTATCATGAAGATGAGCCCAGCCAGTGCCATACGAAACGTATGTCCCGCATTGTCCCAGCTTGGCTTATGGAGGCCCAGGGCTCGCATCTGCATCATTCGCCTTTCAGCTGCTTCCTCCTTCTCCCTGAGTTGGGAAAATTAATAGGATTAATCGTTGTTGTTAAATGTCATCAAGATGAAGGAATGAAATAAGGGACTTAGTATCTTTCAGTTAACAATGCCACAGGTTTCACATGCTTTGGTTGAAACCCACAAGTACATTTGATCCTAAGAAAGGGCTAAAATCAGAGCCAATTTGGATTTTAACCTGTAATCAGATCCTGTCAAGACCAAGGGACATAATCAATAAAGGACCAAATATTTCTGTCAAAAACTGAAGCTTTGTGTTATGAAAAACATTATTCAATTGGACTAATTGCTGGTGTTAAACCACAGATGCTCAACATAATGTTGACAAATGAGATGCTATAATATTTTCTTACATGTTGAATCAACATATTGTGTCACCACTGTTTCAAAATGCTTTGCATCTTACAAGACCCAATGCCCAAAATTGTGCTATTTGTACACAAAAGGTGTACAGAATCCAGTGAAATCATGTGCCCCACCTCTCATCTTCCTCCTTTGACCTCTCCACCTTGTCCATGACATCCTCCAGACTTTGACCAATATTGTTCTGTTTCTCACGGAGGTCTGACAGCTCGTGACTTAGCTTGGCTTTCACACCATCTTCAAACCTGCACATCACAAAAGACATGGCATTCAGTTCCAGACAGACAAAATGAAACTTACAGAAACACTATCAGGAAAATTATAATGATATATTTGCCACCGGTATCAAGAATCTGGATATTTTAAAGAAGAGTCATCAGGAGATGACATATCCCCTGGCCCCCACATATTTGAAAGAACAAATCATCTGACAGTTACTTAAAGTCCAGCTTGAGTTTTTTTAAGACTAAGTCCAAATTGCTCTGGAAACGAAACCCACCCCTCCCTTTTGAGATTAAGTCCAAATCGTTTCCATGGAAACCGAGAAAATAATAAATCACAAAAATCTGCAAATACCAAAAGGGACCACTTAAGGTTCTGTTTGATATATCTACCACTTAAGGTTCTGTTTGATATATCTACCAAGTTTTGTTGAAAAAAATTGAAAAAATCGGTTCTTGAGTTATGCTCCGGAAACGAAGCCCACCCCTCCCCTCCCTTTTGGGACTAAGTCTGAATCGTTTCCATGGAAACCAGGAAAAATAAATATGCCAAAATTCTGCCAAATAGCAAAAGGCACCACTTTGGCACCAGCCTCACATATCTGCCAAGTTTTGCTGAAAGATATTAAGAAGTTTTCGAGTTAAGCTCTGGAAACGAAACCCACCCCTCCTTTTCAGAGATTAAGTCTGAATCGTTTCCATGGAAACCGAGAAAATAATAAATCACAAAAATCTGCAAATACCAAAAGGCACCACTTTGGGATCTGCCTCACATATCCGCCAAGTTTTGCTGAAAGATATTAAGAAGTTTTTGAGTTGTGCTCTGGAAACAAAACCCGCCCCTCCCTTTTGAGACTAAGTCTGAATCGTTTCCATGGACACCGGGAAAAATAAAAATGCCAAAAATCTGTAAATAGGAAAAGGCACCACTTCAAGATCTGTCTCTTATATCTGCCAAGTTTTGCTGAGAGATATTAAGAAGTTTTTGAGCTGTGCTCCGGAAACGAAGCCCACCCCTCCCTTTTGGGACTAAGTCCGAATCGTTTCCATGGAAACCGGGAAAAATTAAAATGCCAAAAATCTGCAAATAGCAAAAGGCACCATTTAAGGTTCTGTTTGATATAACTACCAAGTTTTGTTGAAAAATATTGAACGGTTCTTGAGTTATGCTCCGGAAACGAAGCCCACCCCTCCCTTTTGGGACTAAGTTCGAATTGTTTCCATGGAAACCGGGAAAAATTAAAATGCCAAAAATCTGCAAATAGCAAAAGGCACCATTTAAGGTTCTGTTTGACATAACTACCAAGTTTTGTTGAAAAATATTGAACATTTTTTTAGTTATGCTCCGGAAAGAAAATGATTACGGACGGACAGACGGACGAGGCGGCGTTGACTATATCCCCCCGCTTTACATTATGGGGGATAAAAAACGCATTTGGTAGGTTTGGCAAATTTGTCTTTCACATTTTTTAAAAGTATGTTCATAATCAGGACTATCTTCCGATTATCTCTTTGATTTGTTAAAGTCGGATATTCTATGCTGAAAAGTATCAATGCATCAACTTTACAAAGGGAGATAATCCTACCCTCTATGATATGCCTCTTCTTCTTGTGAACCCTGTTTTGGTGGACCACTTTCCTTACCCTCCTTGCTCCTGTCACAATCAAGATAGCATTGATAAACCTCCTGTACATATATAGAACGTCATACTAGTGGATTTGGATGTTTTGTATTGAACGAGAAGATGTCATGGGAGCAGAGAAACAACTCGTTCAAAGAAGAACAAGTTGTTTCTCTGCTCCCATGCCATCTTCCATGGGTATCCATGGGTATATAATATAGTACCCAACTGAATTAATAAACATGGTCTTAACACTGACTATAGGAAAAGGTAATATAAACAGGAATTTTCAATTAATTTCTCTTTGAAAACAGTTATAGTGCTACCAAAGGTGCCCTTACAGATCGCCAACAAGCTGGTACTGTTGTCCACAGCACACATAAATGAATATACCTGTATGAATACATGCAGTCTCCTTTCTAAATGTGAGATCATATTCAGATTTCATGTTGCACATACATATGGATAATAAGTCTGGACCAATTTATTTTCCTAATTAAACGAATGAGCCTACTCCAAATTTGGAACAGGTGGAAAACGAGTGAAAACAGAGCTTAAACAAAATGCAATTTTGTCAAAAATGTTTCTAAAGTGTTCTGTTTCAGAAATTAAAGGAGAATACGAGTGAATTGCAATAATTTGCTGGGTGAAAGATAAAGTGATCAGAAACATATTCCCAAATTTTCAATTAAAAATTATGTATAATTATGTTTTAATCGCGAAAACAGTTTCGGTAAATCTCAGCTTCGGACATTATGCATATTTCACTGGAACCCATGTGACCTTTCCGCTCGTGACGTCAAATGTGCCTGGAGTCTGCCATATTGCCAAAGACCAAACGCTACAGTAGTACAAATCGTGTTGTTTCTGTTGTTTTTTTAAATGGTACGATGGTGTATTGCGTTGCCTGGGGATGCACGGCATCATCGAAACATGGGAAGGAACCACCATTTCTTCCGTTTTCCAAGTGAAATGACAGATTTTGGCAGGAGAAATGCGCCAATCATTCCGAGTCAGATGCATATGAAAGAGACATGCACACATGGGGTATGGAAATCCCCAAGCTAGGCTGAAGAAGAAAAAAGTACCCACGAGATTCATTTATACTCCATCATTCCCTGTAACACCTTACTGTCAGTGGTATTTTTAACATAAATTAAATCAAGTCTGACTGCCAGTCAGATTGCCCCCGCTACAAAATGACCCAGCAAATTTGGTCAAATTGCCTCCTAGTCAGAATGCCTCAATATATTTAAAATGAATAAATATAGGCCATAAATGCATAGCTTTGTCAACTTTGATATTATGTTATTCATATATAAGTATATACATAGTTATGAGTTTACTAATGAAACATTTATCAGAAATATTACTTCCTAATAACTTTTATATGAAGAACATAATATCATAATAAGTTGACAAAAACTATGCATTTACGGCATATATTCAATTATTATAAATAAATTTGAACAAATTAGAATGAATGACCAAATTTGCTGGGGCATTTTGTAGCTGGGGCAGTTCGACTGGTACACATGAGATATATATTATCAAAATCAGTAAGAGATTTCACATGAGCTTGAAAATGTTTTGCTATAATGTTCTTTTCGGTTTGGAGCCCTAAATGATGCAGTCTACTTGAAACATTGCCGAATACAACGGCAAATCATGAAGTACTTGTTGCTTTCATTGTTTTCCATTTTGTCCAATTACGCACATTGGCATCAGACTCACTATTTATCGCTAGTGTGTGCTGTGAAAGTTGTTATGTATTCTCACTGGCTGACAAGATGTCATTCTAAGGCTATGACCGAGTACCATAACTATTTCCTAATTAAACAATGGGGAAACATACGTTGTCCTGACTTGTAGTTTATAATTAACCAGTTTTTGGGGAATAACTTATCTGCGTCGCAAATATTATCTCTGATTTGATACTTTATTAATGAGAACTAGGATCCTAATTTTTTTCAACAAAATAATTCCAGTGTAATTTTTGAAGCGGATAATTTTTATTTTCCCTTGTCTGAAGCATAATTATTTTGTTTTTAAATCCCAGACACCCTAGAGTCACCCATTTGACACAAAATGAACCCATCTAGACTGACAAATAGTAATCTTGTTAATGATATGGTCTATTTTTAAATTTATTTTGACCTCAAGCGGTACCTCCGTTTCGCTTGATTCTTCTTCTTCATCTTCAGTGAGATATATTGATACGGTCTAACATCCATTTCAGAAATGACATCAGGAACATCTATCAGTGCTTCAGAATCCACGGACACTTAAGTTGTGAGGTAAAATCAAAGAGGCAGCCATCAGCAACAGGCACATATGACGTCATGTCACGTGATACCCCCTCTGCTCATTAACTGTCGGGTGTTTCCGTAATAGGCGGAAATATGAGTACGTTTTTGTGTTTTTATTGCTATTTTACAAACTTTTTTTTCAATTTTAATCACGGAATGTGACTTTTAGAATATCCTTTACAATATATCAAAAGTTTTGTTTTCGTTCGTATTCTCCTTTAACCTCAAATCAGAAAAATATGACTTATGATTTGACATTTGGTCTTAGCATATTGACTAATGTGTAAATAATCCAGAAAATAACAGCTAAATATTATTCCATGTATCAATTGCATGTGCTGTTTCCCTCACTTTTCTGTGGAACTCTCTCTGGACAGTGAGAAAGTGGAACTCTTGGAAGACTGTACACTTGCTTGGCGTTCTAAAGAGCCGCGTCTAAAAGTTGTAGCTACTGCACTGCGCATCTGCGTATTGCCCACTAATGCTTGGAATCGCTGCCTGGGATCCTGAACAACAAGCACATGGTGTTAACATCACATTTCAGGAGGATCTGTGGTGAAATAAGTAATGCTTCTACGATTTCCAATACCTAAATTAATTTCTCACAACTTTCACTCAATGATAACATACTGCAAATAGATATAAAAATTTACATACCACTAGTTCTTTCCTTCTTTGAACTGATGCAGAGCAAAGAAATATTTAAATTAAAATGTCTGAATTATTAAAATTCATATTATTCTTAGTGTAAAAATTGTGTATCTTATTAGTTTATTACTAGAATCGTTATGTTATGAATGCATAAAATTGTTTCTCGTCTTTGCCAATTCTGTTTCATGATTAAGGGATGAATATAACAAAATAATGACAGTACTGAAGATCAGGATTCAAATCATTCTAAACAAGGTATAATTTCCCTGTGTAATCCGTTATTTTGAATCCAACTGACTTGAGAACATCCTCTGTATGGCAAACACTCTAAACGGTGACAATCAACAAGTGACAATCAACAAGCCAGGCATTGTCATACCCTCTAATGCACATTTTCACACGCTTTTCTTAAACATCCAAACTAGAAAAGCCTACAAGGGTACCCATCTTCCTTTTGAGCTCTCCTCCCCCTGTTATGGTAATTTTATTGGTGTGCCCCCTGGGCTGGGGGTTATTCAGAGTTCTGCCAGGGCTGGCAGAGGGACCTGGGGGAGCCTTACAAGGTGGGGGTGGGTGGGGAGGCATGGGGATCTGGGGGGAAAGCTTTAAAATTATAGGTACTAAATAGTTTGTCAGCTTTAGGGACAGGGATGATTGTAGCATTTAAATATGTAGAGAACTGTGTAGTGCAAAGGTGTTTGTTGGTTGGAGGATTCAGGAAGGGTCTGGAGGTTTATTCAAAGGTGTGGAGAGGTTGAGGGGTGGAGTAGCTGGACAGCTACATGTACTGTTTCTCTGCTAGGGGCGGGAGGCTCAAATTTCACCCCGTGACCTGGCTGTCTGGTTTTGTGCTACTACCTGAAGCACAAGACCAGTGACACCACATCAAACACACATCATGACTCAGGCCTTGACATGTGTAATTGTTTCCACTGCTCGATGACGGATGACATTTCCCCATCGAATCATTGACACTTTACAACTTACAAATTCTACTTACCTAACTCATTAACTAATCTGATATCAAGTTGACATTTTCATATGAGTTAACTGTCCATATCATTCTCATTTGTATAGACTTCCTGCATTTGCACATGCAATGGACACACATTCACTGTTTTTATACCACGTAAAGAGTTTTAAATGTGTAGTTTTCCAAATGATTTACACATACTTTATGCAAAATTTTAAATGTTTTTAAAATCGAAGAGTGATGTGTCAAGAGCAAACTGCTTGACATAATGACGAATGGTTCAACAATAAAATTAACGATGCTAATGAGTGACAAATTGCAATCATCATTTTATAATCATGCTGAGGTCATCTTGACATGGACTTATTGCAGCAATTACTCCAGGTAATCAACACTGATTACAGACCTCAACGTTGTAAATAAATATTTTAATTGGAGGCATTATTTGGAATAATTTGTAATTAAATCACTCTAGTGGATATGAATTTCAAAGTTAAAACTAAAAAAAGCACCACTTATTTTTGATTAGTGCATCGTTTCAAACTGCAGTATTCAACATCTTTAAAATCCACTAGAGAGTGAGACAGTGGATATTTTGTTATTTTTTTATAAATTTGGCAAAATATTATGACAAAGTCTTATTATTTTTTAAGGTTCTATTACAATACTTCAACTGATACAATCATTTTTCACATTGTTATAATTTTGAAATTTCATTCTCAACCTCAGACACTTAAAAGGAAAGATATTCAAAATACAGGAAATTCTAATATCCCTTGAAATTACATTATGCTGAATAGAACTAGTCACGTGAGAACTAAGGGTGGGTTTGTGTTATAATCCATTTAACAAAACAACTCCAGACTGCTGTCAAAATATTTCTTTCGAATTTAATTGCCCTGAAAGTTTCACAATTTCTTAAGCACCATCATCCAGTTTTAAGTATTCACATTTACGTTTCACACGATCTTTGAAACAAAAGTCAAGTCCAAGCCTCATCTTTGAACCACAATTATCACGATGAACAAAAGGTACTGAAGAGCGTGGTCACACATATAATTAGGTGGACACGAGAAGTAATGAATATGATAAAACAAGAGTTGAGAAAGTTGGGTGAGGGGCAGGATGACCGATAGCATTGATCTCCGCAGGTGGGGTATTGTGAAATGTGACATGTGGAGGACAATGGGGGTCCCCCTCAAGGCCTGTACCAGTCACAGTTGGGGGGACACGTATTGTTAGTGGGGACAGGGTGATAATGTATGCTGGAACAGTCTATGGGAAAAATCTGACACTGCTACTGTACAATAGGCACACTATGGGTGATTTACTTTTGACAGAGGAGGAATAAACGGTGATTATGATGAGAATTAATGAAGCGGGTATGACATTCTGGTCATTAGGCTATTTCCTGAAATCTCTGGAAATATTTTGTAAGGTGACTAATTGATTTTAAGTGGTGGATGAAAAATCTAGAGATGGGAAGTGATAATGGTTTGTTGTGCATTACGCAACCCTGAAAGAAAAACATTTCAATTTGTTGATGCATTAGGATGAAATGAATGTGTGGGAACAGTCATATCTAATACTGAATCTGAAAATAATGCCGTAACATTAAATGATTAGTTATGCGAACAAATCTATCTGAAAATGTGTTTTTAAAGTGAAAAGGAAATAAGACAAAAGTATTTAGACACATAACTGATGTTAGTGGAAAATCTAGCACTGCATCTACTGCATAAGACATTACAGACATGTATCTACTTTCATAGAATATCTACAGTTATCTACTCTACAAGCACAATAACACTGCTGGCATGCAAATAAAACATTCAAAATAGGCATCATTTTATAAATCTAAAATTTCATACTTTGTAATACCACAGTACAATTATTTCAGATAAAGACAACTCATTTTTGCAAAAGAAATGTTTTCATTAACTGCCAAGTTCATATTATCAGTATATAATCACTACCTCTGCCAACAAAGACATAGTGCTTCAAGCATGTATTAGCAAATATTTCATTTACAGCAGATGTTCAACTTGTTTGCAGTTCAATGTGGCTAGATTTTTATGCCCAAATCTTGCTACGTATTTGAATGAAATCAAAATCCATGAAATATATGGAACTGACTCCACAGGAACGAACTTGTATTGAACTTTTGAAGTAATATTGTCATTGATCAATCAAAACAAATACAGATAAATATATCAAAACTTATTAATTTCCAATGAACTTGATATCTTAATGGCTTATTCTATTTCACATACTGCAATTCTGCTATTAGAATAACATCTAGTCTCTGAAATGAACATATTTTACAGACCCCCCCCCAAAAAAAAGAAAGAAAAAGAATGGTTCCTAAATATTAATAAAATGTAATAAAAAGTAGCCAAGAGACTTTATTCATTTTTCAAATAATGTGAGATAGAATAAGTTAAAGTGCTGATGATTTTACTATTTTCAATGAAACAGAGGATATTTACTGATATTTTATGCAAATGAGCTGAGAACAATATGCTAACTGCTGATGTCAACTTGACTTGCCCCTAGTTGAACTGACATGTTATCCAACTATCTGACTCACCTCATCATCAGTTACATTCTCTCTACTGCCTCCATGCTGCTTGGATTCCGTAAAGAAAGGATAGTCCTATGAAACATGCATGCATGTCAGTTAGAACATCTACACTAGTATGCTACATGGCACTACAGTGATGTAGGTCCTGAAACACTAGCACAATTAGTACACAGCATGTCATTACTGTTATTGTTTTCTAAACTTGGGTTAATCATGTTCGAAAGACTCCTGTCATCCATGAAATCTGCTTTCAATACACACAACAGAAAGTAAATTGGAGCTCAAATGAAAAATATATTGCAGTCCAAAATAATGTTTTCATTTGTAACATAAAAATAAAATAAAATATTTTGCATATTTTAATGATAAAATTTACATACATTTACTAATATATTTCACTATTAACTATTTCACATTAAAATATAAACACCAAATGTTTATACCAGATTCAGAACTATTTTGAAATGACACAGAAATCATACATAATTGATAACAGGAGAAATCTTTCGTTCAGTGAGCAATGTAAACAGATGGCGACTAGGCTAAACTCCAATACAGACTTGTTATGTTTATACTCTCATAGTGATCCATCTCTTGTCAAACAACTGACCACAGATACCGATTTATTCACACATGTTATATTAACTCTGTTTTTGTTGGGAAGCCTCTGTAAATATTGTCTTCTCTGGTCTGTCAAGCGTCACCAAAGTGGTATCACTATGAAAGAAAGTGAATTGGTTCTTATGACAGCTGGCAAGCTTAGCATTTTGGAACACACAGGCCTTACTTTCTTGCATGAGATACTTTCTAAACAGCACTCTTGAGTAGGTGTAGCAACACAGTATTACACAAAGACTAGGCTGAGATAACCTGATCCGAGTTTCGTTCCTGTTCAGGGTACAATGTTTGCGAGACATTTGACAAGATAAAATATAACATATGGCAAACTACAACATTATGTCCCTATTTAGAGGACTGGTGTACCGTAATAAATTATTCATAATAACACTGACAGGTGGAAGGATCTTGAAAGAGGACATGGTTTATTATTTGTAAATTTCTATAAAATTGTGACTCAATAAAAAATAAAGTGGGCGGCTTCAGTTTAAAGATGAAAAAATGAAAGAAAATTTATTGAAATCAATTATTTATAAATACAATAAATATACCATTGAAAGGGAACATCTGGATTTTGAATTAAACGGCCAATAATATTTGTAAATTTTTATACTTTCAAATGGTCAGTTGACAGTTATGATGAGGTAAATAGACAATATCATATTTTCATACTGTCAAATCATAATATAATAAAATTAATCATTTTATTCAATGACAAGCAATAGCTAGACTATAAATATGTTTAATTAAGTCAATCATTCTGAAATTTATCACCATAGTCAGGAGCTAATCCTTATCACAAAAAATCAATTACAAGTGGGTGTAAAACAAAACAGTATAGGGATAAACGTCATGGGTTGGGTAAGGGGATAAACAGTAGGGATCTGCCAGGGTTAAGATGCTGTTAAATGACAATATGCAGAAGCTATTTGTTCAGGTGGATACAGCCTTAAGCCAAATGGCAACAGACAAGAGGTAACACTGAGGGGCTAGGTAACACAATTAGGGGAGAAAGAAAGTGTGGCCCATACTTAAAGCAGAAGAAGGTCCAAGAACAAGTCCTTTAATAAAAGTGGCACAAGGTTGTGAGGTAATTATGAGGCAATAGAGCCTCCTCTACCATGGGATAAACTGTAGTTGGGATGAGAGGACTCCCTTGTGGGATATGTCATTCTAGGACAGGGATAGGGCTTGTCCTGGTAGGGGATGTATTGTGTGAGGGTGCTAGGAACATGATACACCTCACCTAAAGGGATTTGCTTTTGTTTTGTGTCTGTCACAGTCACTAAATGTCAGGATTAACAAAAGACTGGAGTTTTTTGTGTACCTGCCTACTTTCAGCTCCCCAGAGACCAGTTTTCAATGATACTTCTGACACTTACATAACTGCTAAAAACAAATTAACCTTTGGACAATTCTAATTGCTTTTGGTGAAAACAGTTTGAGAGATATTTTGCTATTGGACATTGATTGGTACTTGTGTGAAGACTGTTGTTGAATCTTAACACTGACCTAATGATCGCCCCTTTTGTCATATATGTAGTTAGGCCCTTCAGCAAATTGCAGTAATGGACTATTTGGTTGCAAGCTATTTATATGCTTGTGATTATCCTGCAAATCTTTTCAGTGTTCATGACACCCTTTCAAATGTGTTTTCAGTCACTCAAAACTACATTTAATGATTGCTCTTGAGGCTACAGTAAGTAGAATGTATCTTCATCTACATCCCAGGAACATAATGGGATGATCATTAATACATAACAGATCAAATCATGCATATCTGAAACATTAATATCCCATCTCTCTACTGATTAAAACATGCAGAACATTCAGATAGAAATATCTCCTCTACTATACACATACTGAACAGATGCATGCATCTAAAGCAGGTAGTGACGAATACATATTGCAAAGAGGAATAATTCATATCAGGGATAATAAGGAATAAGATAAAAATTTGAAAATCCTTTATACAAATAGCTGACATATTTTTGGATGAAGAATGGTTTAATGCAGTGTTACATGATGTATGAAGAGGGTGATGTGTTATAATCCATCTTAGCATGGGATCATGATCAGTCGTGATGGACCAACAAGACTGGGTGTGAACTGCTGCAGTATTGGGATGAGGAGGCTGACAAGGATGGCAGAGACTGGTAACACGGGTTACATAACATCTGATTGTTACATTATGTGCAAACTTATGAAATATTTGATATGCACATGTTGTCAGATATGCTGTATAAATCACATGGGATTACAACGCATCCCTGATAATCACTGACAAAGAAATGACTAATTATTTAGATTACGAGATAAGCTCCATGGAAACAGGATAACTGTATTTGCATGTTGAAGTAAGGGAAGTGGATATCTGCAATCAGTCAGCATGATGAATCCAAATAACTTATAATCACTTCTACAAATACCATCTGACAGATTACCATTTGTTATAGGAATAGTGTTAGTGGGTTACGCAGGTGTTAATACAGGAGAGAGATATGATGTGAGATACAGGTGAGCATTGGCAAGTGTGCATACAGATTGGGGCTAATGTTGAGCAATCATTAGTCCTCGTGTGAGATAAGAAACACAGCTGATGGTAGTAATTAACATAAATAAGATATTGAGTATTAATCAGCAGAGATGGCCAGTGAGGTGAGCAGAGATATATAGGTACAAATATCAGAAGAAGACTCCAGGTGTGAGGTGCACTCTTATCACAATAAACAATTCTAACATTATTGATATATCTGATTTAAATGGTTATTGAAAACAGATGACACTAAGATAAAATGTTTTGTATGTAATTCACACAAATTACCTCAAGCAATAATTTTAGCACTTTTGAATTTTTAAAAATTACATTACATAAGAAAATGTTACTGGTAGAATATTTTATCTTGAATAATGAATGGCTTTAGATGAATGTTAAATGAAAACACATGAAAACAGACCATACTGAAAGGTATCAATATATTTAGGTTAGAAAAGAAAAATTATTATTGTGAATTGTTTCACATCAGAATGATAGTGATGCAGTGAAAAGTTGGACAAGAGAAAAGTGCAGAAGAAAAGTAAAATGATAAGATAACAATATGCACAGAAGCATGTGATACCACAGTGGTTGATAAAAGTAATGGCACTTTGCCGAAAGAAGCATTGTAGAGCCAGGCAAAGTGGTTGAATGAGGGGATGTGCATAGATGTTACCGACGACGTTGTTTGTGGGGTGAGGGTTGATCCTTACCAATGATGCTGAGTGTCTGAGAAGGGGGCTACCTGCGCCACCACACATCCGCGGCAAGACAACCTCACTTCTCCGTCTTGTCTACAGGACACATCATATAAGTTGGCTTATACTCTAACAAATTCCTTTTGGATATTTCATAATCACACAGGGTCTTATTTGTCACCTGTTTAGAGCAGATTATATGAACACTACAAGAAGAAAATGTAATATTTCAAAAGTAATTCATTCAAATAGATCTGAAATACCTTTAGTTTGATTTATAGGAATTTTTTAAAAGATTTGTTTTTAAATATAAATTTGGAAACAAACTTTATCAAATTCTTCTGCCACTGGATTCATATAAAACCCTGAGTTAACACTTACCATGGTTGATTCAAACATTGACATTCAAATATACTGCCTGCCTATTTTGTGCTCTGTTAAAATTTGAAATGTATTTATTCCATCAACTAATCTATGTATGTTGCTATGTTTTGTTACTAGAAATCTTGGGATACCAAGAATACAATTGTTTCATGTAAACAAGTGAATACCAACTGACACCACACTAACGATCTGGCCACATGTTCTTGCTGCCATTCTTAAATATGTGTTTCAGACCAATTCCCATGGGACACCAAGAAATAACAGTCTAAACTCCATGTGCAATAAAAGATTCACATCTTGAAATCTGTTATTACAGAATCTGCAACTGTAATTTAGCAATGACACGGACCATTCAACAACACCCTCCCCTAATGCCAACCACCTGTGCCAAAACAACTGTGAACTGCATTGATTCAGTAGGCATCTCCAACACAAGGGAGGTAACTCCAAGAGGCCTGATCTTGACGACAATAAATCTTGACACTTGTAACACCATCTGTATAGAATCTAGCACCAGGGACACCTGAAGTATCCTTGCTGAGAGGAACTGATCCTAAACCTGTGTAAACATCTAGATATTTATGGAGATTGGGCTGATGAGTTATCAATGCTCCTATGGACAGAGAAGCATGTGGGGGGCTTCCTCATCCCGAAACCGATATGTCACCACGGCAAGATGCTGGTATTGTCTGTTTGTTCTAATGTACTAAACTTGTTGAACGACAAGATATTGATGGATACGACTAGAGATATTGACAGGAACAGATGTTGGTGAAACTTGTCAGTTTTCTTGTTTGGAAAATAATCAAATCCAATGTTGACTTCTCTGCAAGAAGAGCAGCAATGGTGTGAGTTGCAAATAAAAGGAGCGGTTACTGGGGTGATGTGATAACTGTATCAAATTATTGTAACGTCATTCATTCCATGTAATATGGATGTAACTACTGCATGAATCAGTTCAAAGCATGAACAATGCATGGGAACATCTAGTAGCAAATCATATTTTGAATGCTTTTGCAAATCACAGCAAACAAATATATGTTCACGTTCAAAGAACATTCAATGTATGGTTGGATGCAACAAAATAAATCATAAAAAAGCAAAAACTAAACAAAAGAAATGTTCATTTGGAAATATTTGATGCAGGACTTCAACACTATGAAGCAAAATAAAACTGAAGCATTGAATGTATCAAAATGGCACAAACTGACAACCCTGTTGGACAACTACACTGGAAACAGGAAAACTGATGTTTAATCTACAGGACAATGATACAGTTATATATGGCAATCAACGTCAACCATTATAGCTACATCTATAGCTGACTGAGCAGATCTAGATCTATACAACACTGCTGACTGATAGAGAGAGAGGAGAGAGAGAGCAAGGTCAAGGTTGTGGACCATCCAGTACCTTCTCCTTAGAACCACCTGGGCTAGGGGATCGGCTACGAAGATGAGGAAGCTAAATTGTCAAGTTAAACTGATATTTAGTGTGTGGCAATCAAACATTGATAAAATCCCTAGGCCCTTTTCCACCAAAGGAATTGTGTCTGTCATAAGTCTATGAAAATATGGGAGTTATGACAGTCACAGCATTGCCCTTTGTGGAACAGGATCCTGAAATATAACATAGCTTCAGCAAGTATGAACATTAGCGAAAAAGTGACAACTACCTCAAGGAACACCAGTGTCTTTGAAGAAAAGATAATATATACAAATATCACAACACAATTAGCAGTTAAAAGAGTTTAAAAGTCATCTTAGAAAGCAAAACATTAAGTGATGTCTATGAATAAAAGATACCTTAGAATGATAGCAAAATGTCTAAAGGGTATCAATAAAAAACAGTAAGTAATCAATGTCACCTGGTCAAGTTTTACGTTAGAGTAAAGACAATACCTACCCTGAGTGGGGCAGTTAAGGCTGCAACTGACATTGACCGATTGGACCGATCTGTAAGGGAAGACTTCACGTTATTTGCAGGCACAAAGTATACAGAAATTATTGAGACTTTTGGGATTTGACATAAATCCAGTTTATAGCAAAGATTACAGTCTTTACAGTCTATTGTAAAACACAGTGAATGACTAATGTGGAATGGTGTAACATAACAGATGGTGATTTTTCACCCTGTACAAAAACAGTAAGGCAACAAACCTAGATCATGAAGGACTGTCTGACCAAAAGGTTTGTCTTGCAAAATTTTTCTGAAAAAATAAAATAAATGCATGACACATAATGAAATGCAGTGTTGAATATATATTTCTTAGATCATCAAAACTCGAGATAATACAATTAATACCTAGTTTCAAAATGTCATCACTCTGGTTTGAATCATCTTTGAAAATAAACTATAAAACCCAGCAAAACTAATCACTTCTGTTTCTTTATGTCATTCATTGTTGATCACATTCACAGGGAAACCAATTTCTATATGCAACTTCATCTGGGAACAGAGAAACTAAACAAAAATTACTAAAGCATGTTGATTCCCTTGTCAGATATATCACAAGTACCCCTACCTGAGTCAACTAATAAGGACAGAAAATGGGTTTAAACATCTCACCTTGCACAAAACAAGTACATAGTTATGTAAAACATATTTTAATGTACAAAGCCAAACTGCACAATAAACAATTATCAGGTGGTTATATTGTGTCATCATGTTATTAGCCACCCGTTTGCCTGGACTAGATTTGATTATTTAAAGGTTATTGTGATAAAGCTGGAATAGTCACTGACTAAATATACCAAAGGGGTGTACAGATACTGAAAGGCAGTGGAGCCATGGAGTTCAGCTCTATCATTAGTTGTGTGTATGAATCATACACAGAACACTCACCTGGCGTCCTCCAGCTCTGTGTGTTCCTTGTCATACAGAGACCGGAGATGGTTGACGTATGTGATCATGATTTCCATGGCTGTACTCATCCGGTTTTCCTGTCACATTAAACAGTTTAAGTGTTTGATCATCCACAAATAATTGACATTTTGTATAAATTATGTGGTTATTTCACACATTTGTTATGAGTGTCTTGGATGTAAAGATGACACCAGTTTCTCAACATATGATGTTGTGCCACACAGAGATGAAGCAAGCCAGCTTGATGTGGTAGGAAAGCCCCAAAATGACATTTACTTCAAATCTTCAAATGGCATTTCAAACTGATATACATAAAAGTAACAACATTTATGGAAGGCAACTTCTGTATAATGAGGAACATAAAGTTTTGGTGTATATTTCTACATCTGAAATAGAAAGAATATACCCTGAAACATGTGTTCCTCATAATACAGTAGTTGACATTAGGGCTGGGACGATTCACCAATACATCACGATACATGTTAGTTTGATACAACTATCGTATTGTCGACTGGTGTATCGATACAAAACGATACACAACGTTTTTTCAAAACAGTATTATCTTAAACATGTTAAAGTACTTATGTGGAGAAAACTACGCAAGTATGATAGAGTTACTTGTTTGTTTATTACAATAGTGTTATTGTTATACAGATATACCTTCAAATAAATCATTTTAAATCTTAACACTGTGTCATTCTTTCAATGTGTATGTATTCGTGGTACGCATTGTATCGCAGGTAAAAAATCGCAATACATATTGTATCGTGACATAGTGTATTGTCCCAGCCCTAGATGACATCCGAAACTGTTCCCCGTCACTTTGGTGACACACACAAGCATGAGTATGTACACAGTATGATAACAGTAAACCTTTAAATATAATCAGGTTAATTTTGGGATTTGAACCCAAGATTTCAGGTTTCTTGGATGCATTCTGCACAGCAAATTGCCATCCATCCTAAGATAAATATGAAGAAGGAATAGGAGAGAGAGAGAAAAGAGCAGCATTTGGAGAAAACAAATGAGAGGAGAGATGCATCACTCTTTTAGGATGAATTTGGGATGTGTCTGTTTTTGCCCATCGATTATACATTTAAATATATTTGCTCGTTATTCACAACTCATAATATCTACAGTATAGTCTCCACACAACCTCAGTGAGTCATGGAGGTGTGTTTTCTGTCTGTGAACAGATTGGAGAAGCCCTATATCTTTACACCATTATTTTGATCTCAAGACTGGCGCCATTAATACATTAGTGTCTAGGACAAGGACTAGAATGGGGTGCATCACAATTACAGCAATACGTCATTATTTATGATTGTTTGATTTTGATAATAATACAATTTATTGTAAGACTATTATTTCTTATTTTTCATCTTTTGAACAAAATCTATTGATTAGGACCGATCATCATTAATTTCCTGTCTGATAGAACACATGCTGGTTTCCTCCATCCTTATCACATTTTGCAACAATAAAGCAAAATGCTAGAATTAATTGAAATAACATGTCGCTGATCAAAATCTAGAATTACAATGCGTACACATCCGTACATGATTGGAAGGGCAAAGTAAACCAAATGGCTGCTCAGCAATGCCAGTGATACTAAAGCTGTGTAACCAGTAAATCACATTGCGAGGCTTGCATCCGAAGTCAGTATTTTCTCAATATAACTGTGGACCAGACAAAGATCGAACAGGTTGATAAGGGTGTTTGTTTGAGTCATTGATCCTTGGACAAACAGCGAGGCTGACAAGTGAATGTTGACACGGGGTATTGTGAACACTGGAACAGTCCTCAATCTCCTGTTGCTTGAGCCAACTGTCAATACTCCCTGCTCTATGACATCAATGCAAACTTGGTTTTACATCTTCATTGGCAATGAGGACTTTGTGTGTATGTCAAATGTACCAACATTGCTTGCATGGGTGGGTGGAACTGTTGGTGTAAGGGTCTACTTAGTTATGCTAATGTTGTTAACTTTACCAGTTGGTGCAGTAGGAGACGAGGGATGGGCAGCTAAACAATCCTAACAACAACAATTTTGAAACAGCCTTTCAGCTTACGCTAAATTTAAGAAGATTATGCAAAATATTCTCATGACTTGTAATGTTATCAAAGTGGTTTGAGAAGAAAGCATCATGTATTTTGTCCAAGGTCAGGAGGTTTGATAAATTGTTGGTCCAAACCAGATACACTTGGTAGTTCAGTTGGTACAAACTACTATGCATCCCAAGGTGAGGACTTAAATCATTATCAAGCTCATTTCTCCTTATTTAGAAAAAATAAGTTGATGTCACCAAGACCAAATAACGTTTATGGCCTATTACACCAACTGGGAAAAGATTTACGTCAAAGACTACCTGCCTGAAAGTTTAGTGACATTTTGCTAACACTTTGAAACAGTCTAGCAATACCATTGCTTCTGGAATTCTAGGGACACACTTACCATATATTAAATATGAACTCTAGGTCTTTTGGCTGGAGAACAAACTTTGCTTTAGTCAAACTTGAAATTGATTAAGTTGGTATTTTGCACATTTTCTGTTATAAACTTGACTGCAATCATGACCATATCTGGCATCATGTCCATCGGATAGTAATGCATAGCTTCAAATTCAAATTCCGAATTTAAAAACAAATACTGGTATATTTTTGAATATTAGTTATCTGTATTTGCAGAGGCCCTAGGACCTGTGTTACATGGGAGCATGCAGATACCCAAGTACAGTGACCTCATTTGTTACGGTCAGATGACACAATGGGCCTGAAACTTATGTCATCTGTCACCCCAAACACTTGCATTGAACTCTGAGGTGACAGGTGACACGCAGGTCAGCAGCACTCAGTAAACTGACCACAACCTAGCAACTTCTGTGTCACATCCTTGTCCTGCATCACATTAAAATTACCATTAGTACTGACCAAATTAATGGAAAATTAAAAATATATTTTCCACATCAAAATTACCGTTAATACTGACCAAATTAATGCATAATCAAAAATATATTTTCCACATGTGCTTTTGCACTATCATTATGTTAAACGTTTCATAATTGTCATTGTTTTGTAGTTCAAACAAAACTTCAACCTTTTATATTAATATCATCGGTCATCTGACCATCACCCCATCTCACTTCCTCAGTGGGCTTCTTTGACTGGAGGATTTTGTCAATTAACTCAATTTGATTTGAACCAATACTTTGCATGCAACACTAAATAACCTCAGTATGTTTTGCCCATAAAACTAACAGACATATAGGTGGCAAACCTGATAACCTGACATTATTTGTCATTTTTGTATATTTTACAAAAAATATGCCATGCATATGTACCTGAATTTACCCAGGCCTTTCTACTTGAGAGTAAGGAGGTCTCGGGCTTATGCCAGGAGTCCCAGACAACAAAATGGGGTCCCAGTGTGACCTCTGTATCAACTATGCAGATGAGCTTTTCCTTGTTTGAAACAGCCACTGAGAAATTGGATATGGTCTGTAACGTACATTTGCCTGCAACTATGGCTACAATTCAATTTGTTGTAATGATCCAAACAGCAACATATTAATTTGCACCCCAAGGGACCCTTCATACAAATTATGTGGATCCACTCTGAGGTTTGATGCATACAGAACTCAATACTTTAAATCCCTGATATATATGTCTGATATCTGACTCAAGAAATGAGACCATAAGAAATTAACTCTCTTTCATCATATATCCTCTTCATGATCTTCCACACAGACATTTGCACAAATTTTGTTCCTTGATTGATTTGAATACTATTAATCAATGCGAGGATGACTAAATGTTCCTTTTCTCTTTTCATCTTTGAAGGTTCTCATCACTGGGCTAAGAGTTTCAAATGTCAATGGCCCATCAAGCACGTAGCATGGCCGTAATTCAATAGCTTATGCCTTACAAATGCTGATCCGATGGGGACTAGTCCAGTTATGTTTATCTTTCAATCAGACACCTAAACCATCATCTGACTTCACTAAATGAATATCCCAGGTTATATTTGTGGAAGACGAAAGTACCTAGGACGGCATCCTTAATGATAAGCATAACCACAATGACTCCATTGAGCTGTTTCTCTGCAGATTTATCATACAATCAATGGCTACGTAATCTAAATGGTAGACAATGATCATTCCCATAATCTGAATTTTAGTCCACTAAATACATGTTCAGTGGCCTAATGGATAAATATTTCATTTTTTACATCAGACGTTTGAATTTCATTCCTGATATCTGATCTGCTTTAGACATCAACTAAGCTGACATTAATCGCTTGTAAAAACACTAAGCAGTGACATTTTTACCTGTTGGTAATAAAATGACTCCAATGAAAAACATAAAACCACTGGACTGGTGTTTTACTACCAGGGATTACATGGATTTGACAAAATTCAATGATGCACAGTTTGAAGTCTCCAAACATTCTGTGGAGTAATTTATAGCTGTGCTTCAAATCTATTAAACAGTAATGCTGAATTTAAACGACAGTGGGCTAACTCCCCAAGCCTCCAGACAAGGCGGTTCTTGGGATATCAAAACCTACTGATTCAATGGCTAGGTGGAACCCATTCAGCCAGTTGTTTAGGACGACAATTTGAGCCTGCTTGTAAACTGACCACAGAATAAGGTTCAATAGCCTTGACCAGTCATAGGTGGCTAATAGAGTGACCACCCACTGACCCATGACATTGCTGCTCTTGAACCTCAGGGGCCATATCAAAGCCATGTAGAAATGAAACATATTGGATGCTTATAATCAAGAACGTTGTGAGATATTTTTGTCCAAATAAAGGTGCTGATAAAACAACAGCATGAGTTTGATTTTCATCAAGATTTTGAGCCGGAAAATATCCATATTTTTACAATATTGCTATAAACAATATATCATGGGGCTGGTGTTTCATCCGTTTTTTTCTATACGACTACACAAGGATATCTTTTACAAAAAGGTCACCCATAATACTAAATCAGGGCTCTGTTCCACAAAGCGCTCTTAGCGTTTTGGCATTTGCAATTAGCATAACTTGCTCGGATTACTATGTGGAGTGGCACCCTGGTACAAAGCAACATTTCAATATCCCAACCAGACTGTTTTATTTGAGATAAACCTATTAAACAGCTAATATATCTGGTGAAAAATATGCATAGATATGCAGTGAAAAATGTCATGAAGGCAAATAATTCAATCTTTACTGTAAAACATTTTTGGTTCCAAATAAAATTTAGCGCACTGAATCTCTAATGAATCAGAAAATCCATAATGCAAATCTACTGATAACCTATAATTCAATTTGACTTTTATGACCCAGCATTGCTTGAGATGACCCCTTTCCCCAATGGCCTGTAACAGATTCTCTCTTGCATGTGGTTAGAGTGTAATAGAAAACAGTTTCAGTACCACTGAAGCCATATATCAGTAGCCTCCCATTTATGGGGACACAAAGTAGGGAATCTTGATGGCCCATAAAGATCAGCCAATAGTTTCTGTTACTTCATTAGTAGTGTGATTATATAAAGCCTACATCACACCTTGCAATCTCCAGTAGACTGTACATCACAAAGACTATCCCTGTGGGGTAACTTGTACATAAAATACACCACTGTTGCATGTTTTTACATAGCCCTTTTTCTCAATACTGTTTGATGATTGTCCATGGGAGTTGAACACCTCCTTATTGAATACTTTAGGTCCTAACTTTACATAAGCTTTGGCTTAACATACAAGTTTACACACAGTTTAGCTGCTAATATAACCAAAGAGTTGATGGGGATTTGGCAAGGTTACATAGCAGGTTACTTGATGTACTGTAATGCCCTACACTTGGTAATCTGCACTGTTGGCTGGAGAACAGCAATGTGAGACTACACCTGGGGTAGCAACCATTAGATTTTATTGTTGTCATTTTCCAACAATGCACTGCATCGTATTACCGACCAGTTTTATACACCTGTTAATTAAATCTGAAAATGCTACATAGCAGTCTGAATGTAAGTTCATGTAATAAGGGTCAATGAATTGATGGTTCTGATCTCAATCCAGCCATGGATGAACTGTCTGTAAATTGGATGAATTCTGCAAATTCTGTGCAAAAATGTATCATATCATATCACTTGGTCAATAATTATGGTATACTTATTCTGAATTTAGACAGTGAGCTAAGATCATTGGGGAAAAAAAAAATTAATCTAATTTTGATTTAACCTGCCAAACTAATTAAGTGGAACAAGCCATGTTCCATGAAGCAATTTTTGCACTAAATCAAAAACTATAAACAAATCTATGTTTGGCCTTCAGAGATTTAATCAGTGCAGCACTAATATTACTTTGCAGAACAGGCCCCTACTCAGTCATAAAACTTTTAGAAAACAAGTACACACAAAAATTAGAAATCCTCCTCTACATGTAAAGTTATTTGTTCTATACCTTGAGACTCAATTTCAGCTTCAAATGTATTTGTTTATCATTTCCCATCATATAATATATTTCAGTGTTGTTATACATAAAGTGTGCATGGAATAATGGAATATACTATTATTGATAATTACATGATTGTAAATAAAGAGTTTGAATGTAAAGAATATCAGAAGGCATGGAAACTAACACAAATTGTATAAGCCACAAATGTTGTTGTTGAATAGTATCTAAGTATTTCTTTCTGATTAAGTAAACCAGTTGGTTGTATCTTTTTTCTATTAAACTGTTACAATAATTACTGCAATTAGTTAATTATTATTTCCTTTGAAACCAAACAATGTGTTCATTACTCACATCATCTGTACTTCTGAATATTTTCCAAACCAATTTGCTAGTGACATCCTGATTGTACATGAGTGAGTTTCATATGTATCACTACCTGTTGAACTGCACCAAACACCTCCGCTCTACTGGACACCTTGGCAGCTGACTGTTCCAGGATTTCAATGTGACCCTGGATCCTCTGTATTACATCTCGTAACTTGGCATCAGTCACAGACTGGTTGAGCTCCTGAAACAACACATATCATGTACATTGAGAACTTGACAAAATAGTGTTTACATCAAGAAAAACAACACAATTGCTAAAAAAAACCCCACTCCAACATCACATATTTCTGCTTTGATACAAACATGGCATAACAAGTATTGCAATAGTTTGTCTCACAGTCCCTGGACCACATTATTTTCCCTACAGCCTAGCCCTCCCTGCAATGGTAACATCTTCAATGAAGCAAGTCTAGATTTCCTCAGGTTCACATCTCACTTGGGGCTCCATTTCAGTTTAAATGGGATTATTTAAATATCAAATTTATATATATTCAGAGACTAAGCTTTAGTATTGCATTACTATTACTCTCTTGTCATACATCTTCAGGACTTGGTAAGCAATGTTCCTGAAGGTTGTTTGTCAAGGAATCATGACAACTGAACATTTCACTGCTCTGTAGATTCTAATCTCAGGAGTCACATTTAGAAACTTCAGAAAGGTCATGGAAATGGCAAAGCTTGTGACATACATGGCTTCATATATAACAATGGAGGCTGTATACACAAATCCTAAATGTTTTCTTGGTGTCCCACCGATGATAGCCAGCCTGACATTGATATGAAAGTATGTAGTGGGCCTTGTAACATTATCAATAGACAAAGCAGTTCATTGTATGTTTCAAAAGTAAAGAATACAAGTAAATAATAAAGTAAGAATACAGGTTGTCAGCAACCAATGTCTGTTGTAGAGAGTAGGTCAAAATATCAGGTGCTTGGGTTGAATGGACTTGCTGGTTGCATGTAATCATATCCCAGGTTTGTGACTGATGCTCATGTTGTCAATCACAGGGACATCAGGCCAAGACTTAATTATTTACAGATCATTGTCATGTACATTGAATATAGTTGAGAGTGGCAAAATGATTCTAAAGGACACATATGATAAGGGTAATTTTCCCCACAGTATTCATAATCCAGAATTCAGGATACTTTCACAAATCATTTTAATAGGTACCAGTTCATATAAATGAGAATAAGAGTTTGTTCATTTCCACATGTTAGGACTAATAACAAAATGAACAAGTAAAGCTAAGAATATGTCAAATCAAACACACTAAGTTTGAAGTTTTCAGGACATGTTTTCTAATTGTTGAGCATGGTCAAGAATATGTCCTAAACTGATTTTTTCTCTAATACAAAGAGTACATTTATTATAACAAATTAACCTAAGGACAGACATGTACATGATTACATGTAATCTTAATAAAAAAATCATGTATCCACACTCATTTTGGCCTTTCTAACATATTTGATCATGTCAGAATGACAAAACTAGTCAGCCATTTGTTCATATCTTATAATGTTCCTGGAAATATTTCAAATACTGCTGCAACTTTAAAGACTGACATTTCCATAGCACCAAGAAGGTGTTGTCCAATGCCAATTCAATACAAAATTTGTCAACCAAATATTACCTTGGCTGTTTAGGCTTCAGTGTTGTGAATGCAGTAGATCCATAGGGTCAACTCTCTAAGAAGCATTGCTACTGTAGAAACCTTGCTTCATCAGTGTTCAAAATTAAGGATGAACGTCAAAGAGCCATTTCCTGGCCGTAATGTAACTAATAACAAATTTTAGGGGCACCAGATAGAAATTCTAGGCAACAGACCTCAAAGATCCCCTCAGTTTCTAAAGTGCTCATGTTTATCAAGCTGAACTTCCACATATAATTGATATTGATTTCTAACACAATGCCACTTAAAGAACATAAGCTGATCCTTAGAAAACAGTTGATGTAATCTTATTTGCATTTTAAGCATCTTGTTTATAAGGCATTCAAATTCTATGTAAAAAACGATATGATGTGTAACTAAAGAAATATTTGTCGTGACATGTTTAAACATTATCGCCTGCTGACCCGTGCTCGTGCCGTGGTGATTAAGAAGCTCCCAAAATGCAAGAATCAATCAAAATTCTTGGAAACCTTCATGACAGCACCAGAGTGCTTTAAGGGAAAATCAATAAATGGAAATGAGGATATGTGGGAGATTGGGAAAGAAGGAAGTAATAGCCATGATTCGTGTAGAATGCAAGAATTGTTCGGTAAAAAGACCATCCCTGCGTAACCCCAGCCCCTGAAGACAGACAGATTCACAGAAGGAACATTATTAGGAAAGGAAAACATCTTCAGTTGGTCACGTACAATTTCAGACAAAGTGTTTGCCCTTGTGCCCAATAGATATTTTAGGCCAGAACTGACCAGTCAGTCAGAGAAAATATAACATAAGACTCAAGGTTCTGGTACCAATATATCCAAAGTGGAATCAGGCTCATAAATGCTCATAGACCCATGTCAGGAACCCATCCTATCAGTGGAAAGTTAGCTGTGTCAGTGTGACTGCGTTTACTCTCAATTACAGGAACCTGTTGGTGTCGTAAAAGCAGCCGCATCAACAAGGCTACAATATGTAATGCTAATGTAATGCATATACTCAACAGTGTCAATGAGGCTATAACATGTAATGTTAATGTAATGCATACATCCAGCATCATCACTGAAAGTACAATTTGTATTGCTGATTCAGTGCATGTACCCAGGAGTGTCAATGCTACTACAATATGTAAAGCTAATGAAATGCATATACCCATCAGTGCCAGTGAGAGTACAAGATGTAATGCTGATACAATACATCCCTGTGTAAGAAGCCACAATTTATGCTTTAGACGTTAACAAGCCATCGGTACAATAATAACGGCTAAAGGCTGACTGAACCTTGATGATCTTTTATTCCTCCCCTGGACATTTACACATAAAGACACAAACTAGTTTATTCAAGCAGATTATTTGCATCACCATTTTTTTCAGTCCCTGAAGGATTTTACAGCAATATTCTTCGAATTACACAGACAATTTTAACATATTCTGTCAGAGAATTTAAACAACACAGACTTCGCATTCTGTTCAAATACGAGTATAATAAAGTAAGCTTTCATGCATATTAATACACTTCAGTGTTTCATAAGGTAAGAATGAATACAACAATATGTTTCACAATGGGAGTGTCATTCTTCTTTTCACTAAACAGAGACTGTTCATCTTCAAGAGTTCTTATTATACAAATATTCCAAAACAACTAAATATTGTTGCAACATAACATAATTGTGAATATGTATGAATTGGTTTCATTTTTTTGATGTGCCATATCTGCATGACTGTTTATGGTTGATGGTTTGAGACTTGTACAAAGCGATCTTAGTCATAAGGTAGTTGTACCTCACATACTTCATAGCTGTTTGACTGTGATACTGGTGAGGTTATTGTGTAAAGCATCACCCTGTACAGAAGAAACAACAGGACAGTATGCTGTTTTGCATACCATCCACATCAAAGTAGTATTGAGGACAAGAATATTCTGCAACTGTCTTCTATTTCTCAAGGGACTGGTTGTCATCGTATACTACCTTCTGTCCTTCAATGTTCCCAAGGTTAATATTGTTGTAGCACTTTTGCAAAAATGATAAATTCACAAATCCATGAGCATATAAAACACCAACCAATCATCAATTCATGAATATGAGTAGTTGCAAGAGGGTGTAAAACATCTGCAACATTCTGAAGAAACAATGCCAGAGAAAGATGATTAACATGCCACATGATGCCTGTCAAAGAAGCACCAAGAGGATTTCAGAGAACAGTAAATTAAACAAGATTGATTAGTCAGCATGAGAGTGTCCTTCATTAAAGACAGAGAATTTAGCCTTACTCAGAACCAACAAAATGATCCGAAATAATGAATGAGTAATTAGTAAGAACTATCAACCACCAAATCATTCCTTATCCTAACAACATTCCGAGGTCACTCCTCAGTGAAAGGTTGTTGCCCAACACACATTAAATAGAATCCTAAATGGGGTCTGATTAAGGAAGACGCTGACAGTGACAGAGAACTAGACACAACCTACAAAGAACTCACTGATCCTTCAATGACATTGGTGCCAATAGTATAAATCAGGCCTGAGATAAAGGTCATATCTATTTTATCTCACTCAGTATTGATGGAACTATTGTTCCTGAAAGGTTCCTACCATGAATCAGTTTCTACATTCATGGAATCGGAAAGAGGCAAAGTGTGATCTTGTGGTTTGCCAAAACAATGAGGCAACTTTAATCAATGAGGTTCATCTTTGACACATGGCAAAGCTGCTTTCCTTTCATAACATTCTAGAAATACATTATTCAGTGTCTTGTGGACTGCAGGGAATTTGGCTTTAGAATCTGAATCTAAGCCCCTGTTACATCTCTCACTGTTTAACACAAGAACTATGACAAGAATCCCTTGACCTTAAATCCTTGACCAAAATCTCAAATGCTATTACTGTATGAATGCACATTGCCGTTTAGAAATGTAACACATGTTTTATTTGGGATTATAGCTGTATCTGAAAGCATCCTATTGATCATAAACTGCCTTAAAAAGTTCAGTACTTAGCTCCAACAGGTTAATAAGTTTTGACGTCAACACGAGTGGTAGTTACTGAAATAAGTTGGCGTCTACTGCTTTAGAATACATTGACACAGACAGGTGAGGTGAGGTGAAATTGGGTTTAACGTACGTGAGAATATTTCGCTCACATGACGACGTGCATGCGTGTGTATGTGTATGTGCGGCTGCTTGTACTAGCCCAGACTGAAGCTGGTTTTATCGTGCTAGCCCACTGAGATACCATGCTGCAGTGAAGCATGAATACCCCACTCAGACACATTATACTGACTCCGAGCCGACCAGTCCTTGTACCAATTAATGCCGAGCGCCACAAGTACCATATTTTAACGTTTTTGGGTATGACACGGTCGGGGATCGAACCCGCGATCTTCTGCTCTCCAGGCGGACCCTCTAACCACTACACCACGGAGGCGGTCCAGACTGAGTCAGCAAGTAAGGTTTATTGTGATCTAGGACCATTCCATCAATATCACTGCGTCAGTAGGGGGGAATCCTGGTCTTCAGCAGCACATGCCAA